TGTACACTCAATTTCGACTAGATTCCCCATATTTCCGCCGAGCTCCCATATTGTGCATGTTTTCCCACACTTTCAACAACCAAACGAACATTGTAGACTAGGAACGTGTTGGTATCGACATCTGTGGTGCATTTTCTGTTTGCTGCCGGATCCTCTCGCTCACTGCCTTCCCGAAGATCTCACGTATGAAACTGAGGATTACCATCTACGCTCAACCCGACCAGCAAACTACTACCTATCGTTTGCTCTAGTGAACTCCCCAAAGTCAAACTCTCTCGGTCTCAGATTGAAAGTTTCAACCCACTTCTTGAAAAGTGTTGGCTGACCATAAAACTGAGGACAACAAGACATCTTTGAGAAATAACGTCCCCTCAGGGTTCGATAGAAATGAAGAAGACGTTCCTAGTGTGATGACATTTACATGGCAGACTGTTCGAGGACCCTGCAAAATTTTGAATGAACTCCCATTGGAAACATTATAGATTCCTGGATGATTCTCTGTATGCTCTTCACTACTTCTCTCAGCATTCTAACGACCGCTTCCCCTTCCGATTTCGACAAGTCCGGTGCCACCAAATCGGCTCGCAAAAGTGTCAAGCCCTAAAAACACGCTTCCTAGAGAGTGGGAAAATCGACTTAGTACTTTAGACTTGAGCAAATCATCATAGAAATTCATCACCATGAAAGGATGAGCGTCTGTCGGGTTGCTTCGGAAGTGATCGAGGAATGTCATAAGACAGTATCTGCGACGTCAATACAAAATTATTCCATCTACTGTATATGATAGTTCTTCCATCACGTATGTATAGCATATACAAAAAGTGCTGTAAATGAGAAGAGAAGAATGCGACCGCTGAGAACCCATCTCGAAATCTCGCACAGCAGAGCGAGGCAACCGTCGAGTACACAGTACACAATCCTAATGACCGCTGTAGAATGGCCACGTCAATATGCACTATCATTATTATGATGATCATAGTATACACGCATACAATATGACGACATGTGATATGAGGTGATTCAGTATAATCGCATATATATCCACCAATTTACGGTATAACATGTTTGTCCTGAACATAATTTCTACCGACTAAAGTATAAGATACCGATACATTAAGTTCATAATAAATTTAAAAACTAAAATTATCATCATAAACCAGCACCTTACTCATAACCTATCGTTTAGTACTTCCCATCCTGTATTTGGGACACCATATTGAAATAGCCTTCGGGTTTCTGTACTGGTATGATGAACATAGGGCACGCCAACGCACTGGCAAACAGAATGAAGACCCAGATTATCACACAGGAAGTACTTTTTATGGAAAATATCCCACTCTGGTTTGGCCATAACTGCACCGATCGACCGAGACTTCTCATTGATGTGCTCCAACCACATCGATCCTAAATGGGAGTCGAGTTCGACTTTGACTTTTTATACCACTGAGACGACTCTTCTCGGAAACATTCGGGAATTTCACGAAAGTTTCGCCTCGGAGTCCACTTGAATCCGTGTTGAAAAATATGCTCGCTTTCTTCAACTGCATTAAAAAGTTCCCTTACAAACCATAAAAGTTCATATACGAACTAGGGTAGAAATATGAGGATACCACTAAAAAATTCCCCAATTGCCCTCAGACTCTGAGGCTCAGAATTTGGATGTCACCAAAATATGTAGTTTATCATGTGCATATTCTCTCACCCTGTTTACAAGTAGAATATATGCAAATGATGGCTAAACAGTCCACGTCGAGGAAAGAATTTCCTCAATTCCCATTGAGAACCTCCACGTCGCAAATTATTAGTAGAGATTTCAGAAAGTTACTACCGAACAAATCGATAGTACTCAAGGACTTGGTATTCGTGAAATTAGTTTTCTAATGGGATCCGAATGAAACGAATAGGGAGACTTTTCATATGTAATCTCAGCCACAATACTCGATAAGTGAGTTTTGACGAAAATTGAGAAGTTCTCCCCAAATTTAGGCAGGTTTTTCAAAAACCGGAAACCTTTCCCGATTATCTACACATTTTTCCTATCGTGTTTACAATAAGTCTTAGAGTAGCGAAATATACCAAAGTCGTTTAATTCCACACGGAGCTGACAGAAATTTTCAGTTGGTTTTACGCCTTTAAAAGAAGTTTTTTAATCCTTATATAATACTCTGATCTCAGCTATACGAGGACTAGGATGAAGTTTAAGATCAGTAAATGGCAGAATTTCAACTACATGGGGAACAACACGATTCGACTCGCAAATTATTCTTCCTTTTCGGGAACCACGAAGTGTTTCATTTTATGTGATAGAGGACTGTCACTACTTATCTTGACTGGATCCTCACGCTCGAACAGCGGCAATCTTACGATCTCGTTTAACTTCTTGGGAAGGGGCATAGTGAAGGTAGTCCGAACCCATTTAGGTGCCGCTGTGCAGGAACGAGAAAGCAATCTTGACATATGGGGAAGCAAAACCAACAAACTAAAGACACTATCCTCATGGTCATTGAATCGGATGTGAAATTCAGGATCGATGCGAGCATCGTATTATACGTGTAAAAGCGATTATGGAATCGATGCTAAGTTCCGAGATCGGCTTGTTGACGACCCCCAGGCACAATGTAGTTATATCATACCACTCCTTTAACACTTCTGTATCGCATATCTGACATCCTATCAAACAAGACCCAGAACGAAGACTAATCATTGACGTCTTCAGCTTCGACCCGGGTTCGATCCCGGGACCGGTCGTTTTTCGGAAACAATTGAGCCGCCGAATCATCATGGCCGTCGGATGTGTAGTTTCTCCACAGTTTCTCAATTCCCAGTGTGAATGTCGGCTAGTCTCGCTGGTGAACTCTTCGAGAAGTGGGATTTGACCTTCCCAGAAAAGACCACGAAAAAAGAGGGTATAAACTCATCGTTTATTTCCTTTGTACTCGGACGCTCATCAGCCCTTCCGGACCCCACCGGGTTCAAGTGGAAACTACAGCAATCGGGAGAGGCTGCAGGGCAACAGGCCATTCAGAAGCTTGCTCAACAAAAGGCTATTCTGGAAAAGCGTAGCTGTTCTTGCGATCCCTACTACTACTACTACTACTACTACTACTACTACTACTACTACTACTACTACTACTATTACTACTACTACTACTATTACTACTATTACTACTATTACTACTATTACTACTACTACTACTACTACTACTACTACTAGTACTATCAGGTGCATGGGAGACCGCGATCAGCCCAGCCAAGTCAATATTCATGAATCTGTTCATGCTATGGATGAGCGGTTCCGGCCCTGGTGAATATCTCATGTTTGAGCTAGCAGTTATACCATCCCCCCCTCAGGTTTGTTCAGTATCCTCATCGTCGGCTATGCTACGATGAATACCGTGAAGAGTCTTGCTAAATGCAACCAAGGTAAGTGAGTCACGAAGCGATGCCGTGAACTCCCTTTAATACTTGAAATCGATTTCGGTGTGCTTATCGTTCCACTTGTCAGTTTTCGACCAGTTTGCAGCTGCCAACGTGTTGCTCCAAAAGCTAGCCTACATCGGCATCAACGTCGCTATCCTAGCGTAACAAACTGTCGATAGTTTACTCAGGGATGAGATCAAGTCTTTGATCAGATACTTGGGGAATCATGCCGCGAACATGGGTATCCTACCGATTGCCAGTGGGGACTGGATTCAGTTCATACCCGAGCAACGAGTAACCTCCAAGCACTGTCTCTTTGAATGATGTAGTTTCTTCCACAGGTAGTAGAATCAGCCCGACCTATAAATGCGCGCTTGTTCGTTGAGGGTGTCAGCGGTGGTGTGTAAGCCTTTATTTACTTGCAGTTTCACAATGCGTTACCGAGTATAGAGTTCAGTGTACACGACAAGGGAACGCGTCGAATGCTAGAAGCCATTTCTATGCATGGCATTTTCTTCCACGGCAATTTCCCGCTTTACATCAAGTCATATTACACTTGGAGAACGAAACATCACGACATGTGAAAAGAACTCAGATATGTTTAAATGACCTCGGTCACTCTTGAAAAATTCTCGGACATAAAAATTCTCAGAGATATTTCAATATATCCTTGGCCAGAGTGCAGGAGGCGCCTACGTTATCGGGCTCGACCTCGATAGCTGCGATGCTCCCTGACAGCAAGAATGGCTCAACACTAACAAGTATACCTTTCTAAGGAGCCTACCGTCCCTGATGATAGCAGCGAATCGCTTGCATCTGACGTTTCCGAGGACCGGAGTCACATCGAAATCAACTCCCAGAGCCTGATGGGATATCGTGCAAACAGCGAGCACTAGGATGGTGAGAAACTGACCTTAGCGGTATCAGCTTTAATGTCGGCGAGCATGTGTATCTTGCCCTCGGCCCCTGTGGTTTTACCCCAAGCTTGCATCACGAAACTGTCATTGACGGCCATGCAGGCAATAACCTCGACGCCCTTGGCCTTCAGCTGATCGTAGTCTTTGAGATAGCTGAGCAAACAGACTTACCGTAGAGAGTCATCATAGTAATCTACCTGGGCAAGTGGGTCTGGTCACAAGTAGGTGTGAAGGCTCCTGGGACTCCAAAAAGGATACCGGTCTTCTTCCCGAAAACGTCATTCAAAGTCTTCTTATCGTCCGGGCTGGTCTCGAAGAGTACGGTGTCGGGGAGCGGGGAACCAACAGCGATTACCATATCGGGGAAACACAAGAGAATCAACTTCAAATCAGTTCACCTCGGAGCTAGCAGCGATGAACGGTTCTCGCTCGCCTGCGTGCAATGCACGCATGTCCAACGCTTACCGTTACCTTAGACCCAAGAGGAACACTCGATAGAGATATCGATCGTTCTCGGGCCATGAACAGTCGAGTAATGGTCCCCTGAAGGGAAGCGGTAAACTGGATGCAAGTGACGCGTATGACAATGTACGACCCAAAATTCTAAACTCCATCATCAAGGAGCCCGGTACATACTCTGCAGTTTGGTTGTCCCCCTCTGCAGTTTGATTGTCCCCCACCGGCAGGAGAACATTCCTTAACCACTCAACAACCATTGCTGGAATAAGAAACTTAAATATCGCCATGGTACAATTAGTACTTGTTGTACCTGCAATACAATATTTCTCAACATGTCCCGGTATCAGCAAAGGATTTTTCTTTGGATTTCTGCTTTCTCGAAAGGTCTCAAAAAAGCTTCTGAACGCCAATACCGCCTGATTTACCACCTCGAGCTAACAAGTGGGGCTACATGAAGTTAATAATTTCAAGTTCCAAAAACGACTCGAGAAATTTCCAACAAACACGAAAGAGAACCGGCAAGAAGCACAGCTCAACACAACCTACTTTTTCTTCTTCATTCGCATGAACTTCCACCGTCGAAACTTCTTATTCGTCTCAACTGAAAACAACCGTTGCATACTTCCAAATCATCAATACAGTAACTCACAAGCATAGATAGCTAGTGGCTGAGGAGTCGTCGTCGAGGCCTTGACCACAGTCGACGCAGCCTTACCGATGATATCAAGCCGCCGTGCGGTTCTGATGCCTAGAGACCACATAGTGTCAACTGAGACTACGAAACCGTTTCGTGAAGGTGATGAAGGTTCCCCCTTTTATTAGCTAGGTATATCCTTATCAAAACATATTACCGGTTGTTATAATGTAATAATCAAAACGAATAAATACTGCAGGTCTATTATTAATCATAAATATTAATATAATATTCACACCTCAATTCATAATTAGAATTCAACGATGAAGTTCTTGGGAAACACCGCGAGAGAACCTTGTCTTCTTACTTGGCGGAAGTACAAAACAATTACACTTGGAAATGGATTGCGTTAAAAGACAAAAATCATGGATAGGCGAGTTCATATCAAATTGATCTACAAGAGTGAATCAGAGCGAAGGTCAGTGATAGATGACAGCTGCTATTATGGACGAGCAGCAAAAGCGTAGAGCTCTTCTACTTAGCCGACTCAAATACCAGAGATATATCACCGCAAGAACCACATCCTGAAAACAATACAAACTGATGTGTAATCCTAATCGATATTTTAGATATTTCCACGGCTCACAACTGACCTCCAGCAAGCTCTTTGTCTTGGTGAGCCAAACCCATAAGATAACAGCACATAGGCAACAGAGGAGGGGAATCATGCGTGATGATGTAAACTGGAGGAAGAGAGAACTAACTCTTCACAAGCCAGCCCACAGTTCTGAACATGCGAACTTGTAAATAAACGACCCCAGTCGAGACGATACTCACAATTGACCATGGACCAGCCCATCCTCATTGAAAGACTACAAAAAACTCGTAGAGGTGAGAAAAGCTGTGAAATACTTCTGTGCTACTTGGTAGGATTATGAACAAGATCAAGAAGCAACTGGCGGGCAAGTATCTTCAATTTCTTCTCTGTGCGGAACATGGATTCGCATACTCCATGTTTCGTGAGATCCTCGTCATTCAACTCTGCGAGCTCCTCGGGCAGCACCTCAAAGTGGACTCCGGAGAGTATGGCCTGAGAAGGGAGCAGAACCCGTGAGCTATAGAGTCTCAACTTCTGAGTAGAACAAAGACAGCCCGGAGACGATTATAATAGGTGATATGTCTTAGATAGATCCTCACCTTCCCACTCCCAACAGGGCACCTCAATATAGCAGGCTCACCACTAGAGGCGTAGCGGTAGAGGACTTCACTACGACAGTCTCGAGGAAACTGCGAGGAGGGAAAACTCGGCCCACCGTTGAAATACCTGCGACAGAAACGAATTCAGCAGCAGGAAATGCTTCCAAAAAGGAAGTAGTTATCTGGTGAACGAAAGCGTCTGAGTACCATGCACTTACGCAAATATGGGTCCTCTAGGAAACTCAGAGTCATCACTGCCCTCATCGACCAGCTCAGCTGCTCGTGCGCCACAATTTGAATCATATTCGTATGCCGCCAAATGAGGACCCACCGCCGGACCTGATAACGGCTACATTTTACCATGTTGACGGAGAATCCCGAATGAGATATCTTGCCTGTGTGGAAGGCGAGCTCTCTGGGGCCGAGCACTTCTAAAGGCCCACCCTTGTCAAACACGCAACTGAAAAATGCGCGTTCCTACTCAATCATGAGCCTTTCGAAAATAACCGACTGGGCTAGGAAAATGCGAGACGGTTGAGGTTAGATTTTCGATACGTTCTTTGCACACGAACTTCGTGTCACGAAGCAACGGTTATAGAAACACAGCGAACACAACGAATGGACAGAGATTATACCCTATATTTCATAAGACTGAATAGCTACTCGTGAATCACAAGTTGTGATAGATACACGTAGCGCATCCGTGTCAGTAAGTCCGTGGAACGAATTCGTTCTCACTCAATGACCAGTATAGATTGCATGGACAAGTCGTATGATACGACGCATATATCACAAGTGAATGAAGCTATGTGTAACGTGCTGTTCTCCCGTACGACACGGTGTCTAAGGGAGAAGATGTGTGCCAGTCCTTCTTCGATTCCGATACCGTCGATGCAAATGCTTCACTACCAGTTGTCGCAGCAGAGGTACATTCTACCACATATGAAGTTATCGGGGCAGAACTCGTCAGTGAACGTGGACTACTATGTCCTCCAAACAATGCTTGAAGCACGGACCGTGTTAGAATGCTTGACAAGCATTCTAACATGGTCCGTGTTGCGGTTGTGATGATCAGTAATGTTCGCAAGGGCAAACAACATGACCACCAATAATAAAATTGGCGCACAACCCACAAGAACATTATATTCTCTGGACGTTGACCCTCGAAAAACATTATCAATTAGTACAATCGCAACAACGGCAAGAACAGTCCATCCGTGTATGCGATAAACATAGCAGATAAGTAGTGAATAAACAATCGAAAGAAAGACAGACAGACAGCACCTGTACGCCGTAACGCGTACTTGGGGAAAGCCAGGGCAGGCACAGTGTGCGTCAGCCAGCTCGATAAACCGATTGAATCGACCCATCGAGGTGGCTGATCCATTGAGCGAATCGATTCGATCCGCATTGTAGACTCCTCGTGGACAGTCTCTCAGCCTTTTTGGATGGTGCGGTAGGACTCTCACCGTAGAACTGGAATGTGCCATGTCTTGAAAATCTACCGCAAGATCTCCATGAGAAAATTGTTTTATTCGTGGAACATACACCACCATGCGTATTCCCGTTCACACTGAATCAATAAGACCACCAGTGAATGATTGACCAAGACCCAGGGTGAGGGTCGGGAAAAGCTCTTCCGACTCCATATTTTCATTCGGCGACTTGGCTAGGAGATATGTAACCACTTTTGATGAACTTACGCACTAGAGCCGAAGTAGGATCCTGCACATGTCCCGAGGAATGATCCACCATCTTCAACGAAGGTGCGGATTAATCGGCAGCCTTTCCCATTAAGATCCTGAACCCATCTGAGGGCGACACAAGTCAGATACACCCAGAGCCGCTAAGGCAACTTCTCTCGGAGTGAAATCCGAATTTTTGCAAATAGGAGTCGCACAACTCCACCGAAATAACTATGATACACAGCTAGGAAGATCCAACGTTTAAGTCCGAGGCAGCAAACAAAACACAAGCTCATGTAATATTCAGATAACACAAGGAGCGACGAACCCCCTGGGCATCGCAGGAAGCGCATCGTCCCAAAGATAGTGATATCATAGCCACTTAAGCCAAATTCCGCGCGGATAAGGTATTAAACTAATAAATCAACAATATTCGAGTCCACTCACGGTGAATCTGCTCCTCCGGGTATGATCAGAAGACGGCAATTATTCGTCCATCCCCCATCGAGAAGCTCTCGACAGCTGAGTCGGAATACTGTGAATCCCAGGGGACCCAAAACATCTTTGGCCAGTTCTTCAGTACCTAGAGAAGTATGGCATGTTCGACAGCGAGACCGGTGTAACGTTAATCGCAAAGATTCGAGCCGCATGAGCACTCCAGGCGGCTAACAAAGATGGGTACTTTAGATATTTCTACATCACGAACTGAACCACGTAAACCCCATATTAGTGATAAGAGGTTTATGCAATGCAACGAATAACTGCAGATTTACTGTCTTTCTGCGATAGCTGCATAAAGAATGCCTCATAGCAAGCGATGAACTGAACGGATGCACATACTCAGGAATCAGGGAGTGCCCTTGACAACGATCAGGGTCACTCGCCTCGCCCAACTACTACGTCTGATGCTCTCTTTCCCAGCACCTCTGCCAGCGTAAATATAGACTTCACATCGACCCTCTGAGTAGGAATGCTCCACCATCGTCTGATAAAACTTTCCAAAGAGCCTCATCGAGCCCATCCAAGCTTCCCGCCGACCTTCGCTTTGACTTAACACCACCCATTCAGTCAATCAACAGCACTCACATGACTTGTGGGCCACAAGTTGTGGCACAGGAAACTCCATCAGTACACACTAATCCACAACCAACGATACAATCCGGCACCTTCCAAACGTTTATTGATACAGTTGATACAGTTGATGCACCATGCCTCTGCAATAGTGTTCCAAGGGCCAAAACAGAAGTTGTAGCCGAGTTACCTCAGCAACGACACACTCGGATTCCCAGCTCGACAAATCAACGAGTTCCTGGATACATGCACGCATGAGTGTTAGTGAGAGGACCGCTTATTCTATAAGCTCGCACTGAGAACCCCACAGAAATAATAGGGATTACTCGAAGCACTATACCCGAACAGAGAACACGACGGCTCTAGGATTTGAACATCCACGAGTGAGGCCTGATAAACTGATCGCTCGATAGTCGTGAACTTTGTGTAATTTTCTCATAGCTAGGGTGTCTCATAGTTGTTACTCAATGAAGTGGTTCAATCGTTGTCAGAGACGATAATTGTCACATTTTATGTCACCTCTGTTGAAGCTTATTGCACTTTTGTCTGCTGGCTTATCTTGCTAATGTATTCTGGTTATGATATCAATGATTTAGATGAGTTGGATTATAGTGAGGATATTTGTACCAAAGACTTCATGGGGACTGACTCTGGTTCTATCCAGGGAAATGACTTCCCTCCCTCCACAGATAGCTTTCAGGCCCGACGGATCAATACACCAGCGCTCTAACCACTCGACCAAAATATTCCAACGACCCTGCCGAATAATCATCCCTCTACTACTGGGAGCATGATACAATAGCTCCTCCAGTAAATCGGTCGTGGTCTTCGCACTAGGATCTTTCGAATCATATCCTCGCTGATCCTCTCCCGTCGGCTCCACCGGTCTGATGAATGGTTTTCATTGTTAGTAAGAATGCGACAAATTCGAACCCACAGTTGGTTATGAGCTTCACAATCACTCAACAACCCTGAATATTCATGATCGACACTTCGGGATAGATCACCGAGTTACTACAGAGAGTTGAGGGGACACCAGTGTGGTTTAATTTGCACATGATCAACCACAAGTGCACTTCACGATAACTTTGTGCGTGCGTGCGTGCGTGCGTGCATATGTAATTGTCCAGCCCGATCCAGAATAGATATGAAAACGTATGAACCATCACTCGAAAGCTTCCGGTCTGGGGATCTTGCAAAGAATATGAAACCCTGCATACTCGACCAACTCGTCAGCAGCTGCTCCGAAAACCGACGAAAATTAAAGGCCTAGTGCTAACTATCACTAGCCCCGAACGTCAATGTTCGTGATGGAGTCCTACGTTGCCTACCTTCGTTGTGTCTATAACGGTTCGCTTGCTTTGGTTGATAAAACATATCTGCGGTATAACTTTCGGAAGCCGTTCTTGAGGAAGCAGCGTTAGGAACTCCTACTTGCGAGGTTCGCCTCTCCTCAAGGAGCACTTCCGAAGTTATATGCCCACTATGTACACGTATTATGTACATGCTTCTATTCTCATAGAAGCAAATTCTATCTTGAGGACGGCACGGAGATTCTAGACTCTGCGCAGTGTATGATATTATGATGAGTTATGCGACTGCTTGGAGGGTATCTTGATGTCGACCGTGCAAGATACAAAATAGGTTCGCTAGCGTTACATTTTTCGGCAGTTACATTTCCACCTTTTTTCATAATGTTCGAATCAATTCTGCCATCCTTGAGTCCAATTGAGAGCTTCGTCTCTCAACAATCGTCTACCCCGTAAGAGCTTTCTCTTCCTCCTCCTTTCCCTCTCTCACTTCCCTACTCAGGCTCTCACCGCCTTCTACCCCAAAGCTACACCCACTGCCCTCTCCGCCCGACCCTCCAGCTTTCTCTCTGCCACCTAGTTATGTCCAGTATCTTGCCTTACTCATTCTCTCACAGAGCGAGTAAGTCTACTACTACTACTACTACTACTACTACTACTACTACTACTACTACTACTACTACTACTACTACTACTTCTACTTCTTGAGGTTTCCTGTCATTGATTAACTCTATATCACCAAATTGAGTGTTGATTCTACCAAGAGAGTGCCTCGTGTGTGAACTTTTTTCTTGCATAGCAACTCGGGGATTTTCTATCAATCTTCGGCCACCCTCCCTACGTTCACATGAATGTTTATCGCCCATCTTCCCGTACTTGTCGGTTCATGCGGGTTACTGCGCTCTCTCTGTCAGACTCTTCGGGGACGCCACAGACTATCCGAGCAGCACTTTTTCGACCAACCGGGTGGGTAGATAACTCCATAACTCTTGGAATACAGCTTTGGTTCCTTTCAGATGTCTGCCCAAGACGAGCCTATAGACGTGTCACTGTTCTCTCTGGAGTAAGTAGAGTTGTATCATCTCAAGTGCGAAAGTCCATGCCTTGATATATCTGTGATTTCCATATTCGTATGTCCATATTGCTGAGCATCATATTCCCATCCACATTGTGACAGCTCTTCTCAGCATCTCTCCGCGACTCAGACCTAAGGCGTCTCTGGGTATTCCCGAATGATTGTCAATGGTTGTTCATTGTCAGGACTTCACCAACTCGGAGGAGGATTTCGGAAAGAACGCCCGAATTTTTTGGTTGAGACGGTCTGATCACCGTGCAATACTATACTGTAAAGCTTTCTCCCTTGCCTTGAGTGCTCAGACATACCGTTCTCGACACGCATTGCCGTGAGCGAGTTCTTTTGTGGAATATATTGGTCTTGTTACAAGACGTGTGTTGTGGTTGAGGCTAGATCGCCATTTCTGTTAAGGGCTTAACGCCCACTGATGCGTCTAACTTCGTCTTCGTTTCAAGGAAGTCATTGTACGTAGCTTTACTGAGGCGGCCACGCGTCCCTCAGAAGCAAATTTCTGACTATTCTTCGAGTTGTGTTATTCTCGGCACTTCCCAGGATCGCCGAAATCGTTCAGCAGTAGTGTAGTTGGCTCTCGGCAAGAATGCTCGTCCAACTGCGATGCACAATAGTCTGTTGCTGTCCAGCGTTCGCAGCTTTTTCGGATAGCTGAGCATTTGATGTTGCACCACGTTGTGTTGACTTCCTCAAGCGGCGTCACACAGAGAAGCTCAGTTCCGCGCCGTCTCTGAATTTAGTGATGAAAATCCTAAGACCAATCAAAAGGGGCGTTTAAGTTCAAGTTTGAATACAATCCATTTCGACCAGGATGACCTCGAACGTTCTCGGATAGGATGAATGTGATGCGCATTGATTTCAACTTGGATTCAATAGTATTAGGGAACATAACAACTCATGGTAGTGGAGGACAAGAGTATTGATATAAGCACGAAGTCTAGTAGGATGGACAGTAGGAAATATGAGTACATCCTGCGAACTGAGAACAGCACATCGACTGAGATTGAGAGGAGCGATGCGAGGCTACAATAAGGAATTCGACCATGTTAGATCTCGTCGCGAAAATGTCGTCCACTTGAGCAGGTCAGCGTCACGTCCACCTCCACAGAGAATTGGCACTATCTCCGGTCAGTTTTGGAAAAACTGTCTGCTTCCCTCAGCGTATCTCAGGAGTTTCCTCATCAAATATAGAAGCTCATATACCAATCGTCGTAGAAGTGTACAGAAACCGGCAAAAACATTTAAAAATTTTCTCAGATTTCCATATCCTTACTAACACATGGAGTCCGATGTTATTAAGATCTCCGAATTTACGAAGCAGATTCTCATCAGTCGCGATATCAACATATGTATGTTCCGGTGAAAAGTTCAGACTCTCCTCTCGAGGGTGTACCGGAATACTCTCTGTGCACGTTGCGAGGTCTAAATTTCACGAGTTACACATTAAACACATAAACACATTACACATTCAACACATTAAAGTCACAAAAGTCTAAATTTCACGAGCAGTGTTTTGCCCAAATCGGAAACCCCAATAAAACCAAATTTCTGAAATGTCATTTCGTAGTCCTCGTAGTGCTCGAGGAAATGACATTTAGTGAACGCATTCAGATTTCGACAATGAACGGGTAGAAGGGTTACGCATGCTCATCACTCGAGCATCATTGACGCGAACACAACAGAGGAGGTTGTATCACATATTTGAAGGAGTAGCACTAGCAGTAGAAGTAGCCTGGAACAGAGCATCATCACGGAATGCCTTCAACCTTTCCGTTGACAGCTCGTGCATTGTGAAATCGCAGTCAATCTGAAGAGAATAAATCTACAATATTACAGCATGAGAACCATAAAGAGGTGATTATCTATACTTTTCAGGTAGCAGGAAATCTAATTGACGTCTTAGTCTAGCACACTGAGCAGAGCTACTCTAACGTACTAACCAAACCGTTATGCAAATAACCTTTGCTGAATTAGAAAAATTTCATGACCGACCTTTTATAAGCAAAATAGTAAAAATAGTAAAAATCGATTGACAACGTTTCTGACCCGTTACATCATATACAAACCATCAAACCCGTAAAATGGATAGCACCAAAAACTTCAAGTTTCCTCAAATCACAGCGCTGTAAGTAACTTTCCTAATCCGCGTTTACTTATCCAACAGACACACATCCGACGCAACTTCACAATTTTCCTTCGTTTAGTACCTTCATCTCAGCTTTCAACTGCTCGATCGATTCGAACGGAAGTTCTGGACGGAATCTGCCCAGTACTAGCAGTCGCAGTTCAGTACCGTAAAAATCCGAAGTGAACCTGAAAACGATGGAGACACCCCCTGAGCAGTGACCACCCCTACTGATGCATTATATAGGCTTCCACCAGCTTCTCCTTGACATCATTGAAGCTTGGATTTACCCCTACACTCAGCGCTGTCGGGTGAACCTCGCGGTCGCCCTTTGATGCAGAGCACTCCTTAGCATATCGGACTTGGGCGAAACCAAGGTAGACACCTGATGAAGCTACAATCCGTTGAGACGTGAAGAACTCGACACATCGTAATCACATTCACTGTGGATGCATAGCAAAAAAGTTTTGAAGGATCTGAGCGCTACTCTACGGTGGTCTTCAGTTTCTCGGTATTATATTGTGTACATTTGATGCACATGAAAAGATGTAATACCAAACTTTGATATACATTGAAGTTTCACTCTAGTGATATGAAAAACACTAGTGAGAAACAGATTTCACGACTACTACATAGTGCGAAATTCGGGTTTTTCACCAAGTATTACGCCACTTTGCGTACATATGTCATGATATATTAGAGTTTCACCCGTGATATGAAAAATACTTGTGAAAAATATATTTCACACTTCACTTCGTGGGCAAAAGCCTCTGGCTCGCAAATATTCCGTTTTTCACGTAGAGTATTACAGCAATTCACGTAAAACGGGTGACACTCCATTGTAGATATATGTCATACCATCCATACGTATAATACTACTATAAAACTCGTCGAGATGTATGATCGTGCAAGTCTGTTAACTCCTACAACACAGTGATCAAGGAGTTTTACACAGCGTTGCCGAGACCACCCCTGATTTATATACTATAAAAACCAGTATACGTAAAGCCCCCAAAAACCTTCACATCAAGACGTGTGGAATTTCTTCATGATGGTGCTAGACTTCAACTCACAGTGAAATGCGAGCTGATCAAAATCGTGTCCATTTGTCTCCCAGAATTACCAGTTTCCGCTGCCTCCAAGAACTGAGCAACTGCAGGGCTATCTGAAGTGATGTTAGCCGTAGGGTACCCCAACAGCTTAGAGCCTCTGCCGCACCCAGATGCCACTATTCCTGTTAGTCGCGCTGGAGGCTCTAGAAGATGCAATACGCGAGTAATACTCTCCTTGGCTGGATTCATTGACGATACTTGAAAACTAGTTCAACCTACGATCTGCCCGGCCCAATCGTGAGAGGACGGAGAACAGATTTTCTGGAGTATACATGGAAAAATGTATATTGCGTAATGATGTGTAAATTTTGAGAAAAAAATTTTTTCTATTCATGATACTTTATTATGATCAAATTGCATCACAATAGAGAACTAGCAATCGACACAATGCAAGATTCGCAAAACTACGTAGGGGAAATGTCATCAACTGCGGTTGTTGATAACAAATATGAGGAAATTATTATGAGCTTTCGCTCACTTTACCATGGCTCGAGCGCTTCCCACACCAAAAACTCTTCCTTGCACTACTCTTAACACAATGTCAAAAACTGTAAGAAATTCTGTTAATGCGAGTGACTCAACATTCACACCGTTTAAGTGTGTGATACATCTGAAGTAGCTCTACCTACTAGAACCAAGCGTTTGAGCTATCTCGATGGTGATCCATCTCTGGTAATCCCACTTGCTGGAGAGAACAATCTAAAACGCCAAAATCGCGGAGCGAAGCAGATCCATGATCGAGTGAATTAAGACAGGTACTCTGTCCTCAGCTGAGTTCGAGAGTTCTCTCACTTATCATAGAAGTTTACACACGAATTAGAGTAGAAGTGTACAGAACCAATAAGAATCTCCAAAAATTTCCCATACTATTACCAACGCATACAGTACATGTTCGTAGCAATGTTTACATTGTATCGGTGAACTATCAAAGCGATTACCATTAATCTCAAGAAAAACCGCACATTTGCATATCAAATTGGCACGCACTGTAATTGGCCATGTATTGGTTTTATTTTCGAGATGGTGACCATAATGGACGCGAATCTAATTTTGTTATGCACATGATATCCGATATCAACGAAAAAAGGTATCCCCCACCTCGTCAGAAACGTCTGTGCCCTGAGCTGTTATAGTCGCAAACTTCACTCTGTTGGAGCAATAACAAACACGATAGAACAAAACTTTCATACCTAGAGTCAACTAGAAGATGCACGGTCGGGGACGATGAAGTTTCAATCTAGTGATATGAAAAACACTAGTGAAAAATATATTTCACGACTACTGCATATCACCGCGAATATCGCGTTTTTTGGAGAAGATTACACCACTTAACGTAAAACGGGTGATGCCTGATAAATTCGGTCAGAGCTGTTCGCCAGGAACAAGCTTCCCACCGTATTCAATGGTTCACGTGCGCATGCTCTCCGTACGCATATACAGAACAGAGCCCAGCTATCTATGCGCAGTATTGGGGATTCCACATACTACTCCTACCGAATTTACGCCGCCATTCTTACACATTTTTCGCTGCAAACTTCGTAGTTCGTGTTTCTGATTTATCCCACGATGAACTCAGCCTATCTTCTTCTCCTCAGTATCGCACAAGTCGAAGCTGAGGTGATTCGGGCACACCCTGGTAGTAGTATGGCACAGCGCATACTTGCGGGTCCTTCTAACTTCTCCTATCCCCCGAACTGCTCGAAGAATGCCAAGCCGAAGGACAAGCCCTTCTGTGCTACTGGGGAGCTCGATCTCGGACTGAAATGGGTGTCAATATCGATACTTATTTCTTCGATGCGTTCGATCCAACCAAAACTGTTCTCTTTGGACTCAATGCTACTATTAATAAAGGTATCCCGGAGTCCCTCGAGGTTAAAACTGGTGGTTGTGCGACCCCTATCGTGGTGGATCTGATACCGAAACCTATAACACATCTACTAGATGGAGCCATTGAGATCTGCACATCAGGAGGCGGTCCAGGGAAGTATGATCCGAAGACTAGAAGCTACTTGGCTGAGTTCAAGATTTCAGGTGAGGCTGGATTTTACTCCAGGGTGAAAAGAGCCATCTATTTCGGGGTAAATTTCAGTGCTGTTGGTAAGGCGTGGCTCAAACCTCATTTCGACATTGGCTTCGACGCGACTGTGATTTCCTCTACCGGAGACCCGAAGAGCCTTCAGCTGACTCTAGAATTTCCCAACACAATGACTACAGTGAACGGTTCCGTCTTAACATGGCATATTCTCGAAAGAATGAGCTTTGATATGTACTCGACTACAATGGGCCATCACTACACCAATCTAACTTTCGTAGACAAGATCATCCAATTCCAGCCTTCGCAATTGGACTCGTGATGCAAGGGTGACCAGTCACCTTTGCTACACTCTGTGTTGGCATTCCATACCATACTTGACACCACAATCGAGTTAGGTCACCAAGCTTAGTTAGAGATAGCTCAATAGTGGTATGAACAGGTTTGGTCGCATAGAATTTTTCATTCTTTGAGCTATTCGTTCTTGAAGATCGATGGCTATTTCCACTCGAGATTAAGCGTTGTGTTACCGATTCGAACGTTTCGAACCCGTCGTTTTGGCCCATCAAGTGCTCCCGCGAAATTGATTGTACCAAGGCGTATCTTGGGGTTAGGGCATAGGTGCGCCACTCAATGGAATTGGATAAATATGCCTTTAAAAAATGTAGTCACCTAGTGACCCTCACAAATAGATAAGTTCAACTTTACTCGCTCGCTGGTTCACCCCGAACACTCTACCATACTATTGTTAAATAGTTGTTGTCCAATAACATACATTCATTTAGTTAGTTGGGAGTAGTGGGTAGTGGTGCGAAAGCATGATACGTTGCTACAGAACGTGTGAGATCCGAAGGTCTCAACCTCGAAGTTCTGTCGAAAACTTTCCGAAACTTGCAACGCTGGATGCTTCGCTCCGCATAAGTAGCGGCGAGGTTAGGGGATACTCTCATCTGCCAGTGGCACCGAATTGACTCTCTGTGGCAGACTGCCACAGAGAGTCAATTCCGGTGCTCTCTGGGCCAGAGCCTCTGGATGATGACCCTCGTTTGACTACTCATGCCTCGCAAACCAACTTCAACCGGATGCGGGTGGGTGGGTTCAGAAAAGTCCCCATTATCTAAATGGTAACTGGATGTTAATCGATCCAACACCCCTCCCCCATCCACAACGCAAACCATTCGATCGTTTGTTGACCTAGCCCAATAAATTGACCTTCATACAGTCTTCCTCGCTTCGGCGAACATTGCACGCGAATACCTAGCTTGCGTGCAGTGCTCGTCGAAAATAAGCGCAGCGCGGAAGCACATTGGGGGAAGCTAGTAGATATCTCAAAATACCTCATGTCAAGATCACCGAAATCTTGAGTCCATAATATAAACTCCATATACGTCAATACTATCCGAAGAAGCCCGAGAAAGTGTCCCAGGTACAGCTCCGGGGTGCAAAAATTTCTCCTTAACGGCTAGCATACGGGTCGCTATTTCAATGGACTCATCTTGAGCCTCGGATGCTTCATATCTTGTATTTCAGCAACACTCTGATCAGAATCAAAAACTTGGGGTGTGACAGGTAGGAAGATTCTCAGTGAGAATTTCTCACATCTCGCTCGCTCGGATAACCTTTACCAATTCAGCGGACTTGCCGATACATGTTCAGGAACTTGGAGTACTTCAACCGGACTCAATTTACCTCAATCTAGAGTTCTAGCGAAACGACACCACATAACCCAAGGAGAATTGTTCTACCAGCAACATAAAGACCCTGTTCACCTCCTGCTTCGACTAAGCGAGATTTGCAATACGGCTCATTGTGCAGCCCTACTAGTGTAAAGTTTACACTGTAAACGCTACCAGCTCGACATGAGATATAACGTCAACGCCAGGGTTGGATCCGGGGAGAGTTCATTGCAGGCGCCGAGCTCACTAGGCCGGCGGGCCTAGGTCCGTAAAACCACGCGTTGCTGGATTGGACAACTGGCCGCCAATGGCGGCCCGCCATTCACTGTCCTAGCAACCAATTTCCGCCTTCTCGAGGATCGACCTGATTAATATTGTAACAGCCTCTTGTTGCGGAATCATGGGTTTAGTCACGTGTCGAGTTCGGAGCTCAGCGTAAACTAAGGTTAGGCCTAAGCACTATGGTTGGACGAAAAGCGGGCCGGAAGCCCGCGTTCTGGCATCGCCAGTGGCCACCCGAGTAAGTTACGACACTCACCCCTGAAAGTTACGACATTCGTCCCGATCAGCCGTAGGTTATGCTAATTAGATCAAACAGACGGAGTCACTAAAGTTGGTCTACTGTATCACTAAAAGTAACGCGCGCCCATCTGATCGATCTTGTCGCGGATAATTCAGCACGAAGTGTTGAACCCAACCTCTCATGCAAGCGCGAACCCCTAGTCCGATGCGTAGTTCAGGTGTATGCTAAGTGCTGCTGCTACTAATTCGTTACATCTTATTCATCGAAAGTATGTGTCTTGTCGTTGCAGTCGGGGGCCAATGGGTAAAGAGCCGTGTGGGGTTCAGTTACCTTGTGCCTAGGCTTCTGCTCTTTATGTCCTCAACTATACGGATATTGGACTATAAGATAGAAAATGGAAAAGAGAGATATCAGGTCATACTCTGATTGCATCGCTGATCAACTATGAGTTGAATTTACTCAAATCGTATAGACGACGCTCTGGAATAATAGATTCTTGAGAAGTATGATGTGCGCGGAGTTTTCACTAGTGTAGGGAAACATGCACATGGTCAACTACAAATGTTGGTGACACTATGAAAAATTTTGAGGAAATTTAAGGAGATTCTTATTGGTACCAGTACATCAATACCCGAATTCGTGTGAGGAAAGCGCACATATACGCATACACGAGTTGACACAATCTCAGAACTTTCAGGTTGAATATCCTCACGGTAGAGGGGTGAAGTGGGTGGCACCATTCGCTATAGGTGGACAATATAAGCAGGATATGGCTACTGCTAAAATTAGGTAACCTCAGATTGGAGTGGTATTGTGAGAAATTGTCATTACTAGGTATCAACAGCAGCAAGATCAATCGCAAAAACTGCGTGCCCAACTGGATGCTCCTGGCTCGGGTCAACCTGGATCAGCGATGGATAGTCTACATGGAGTTGGCAGTAGTGCTACTGGTAGAATGTCCATAGTCTTTCACTCAACTTGGCATCATCGGAGTTCTTACAGGCCATACTGGAGCTCTGCCGAATAGACAACGTCGTCTCACATTGGCCCAGCAGCAGTTGAATGCTACGACGGGGGGCGTGGGAGCTGCACGTCTTGGTGCTGCATTCGGTGTGGGGAACACTGCACAGGTAGTAGTATGGTATATACATATTTTGACTTAGTGATGATGAGAAAAAATGAGATCTATTCTTGATGATTTTCATACCAGATTTTTTCAGAGTGGGAAATATGTACATAATCAACCACATATTTTGGTGACAATATTAAAGTTTCGAGGCAACTTTGAGGAATTTTCATTGATATCTGTACATTTCTAACCTAATTCGTATATGAACTATTTGCCATAGTAGTGACGAAACTCAGATGAGTAAAGCGAACATATATGTCGACACTGCCTTTTCCCGTGTGATATTCAAACTTATTTTGCTCGCTATATGTATTGGAGTTTCACCCGTTTTACTTGAAGTGGCGTAAAACTCGGTGAAAAACGCGATATTCGCGGTGATATGCAGTAGTCGTAGAGTATGTTTTTCATATCACTAGGGTGGTGAAACTCCATTGTTATATCATACATAGTTGTTCACTTCGAATGATATACTCTTGTGGATCCGTTCTCAGGTAAAATGCATTTGTTTTGGTGGAGCTGGCGTTGGTGATTCTGAGTTCGTCACATGTTCCTCGTGCTGTCGCAAAAGTCATTGCAAGTAGTAGTAAGCTTTGGTGACGCTTTCGCTGGTGTAGGACTTCCCTGTTAGGTGTGTGAGAGCGGATGCTGATGCCAGGGACTTCGTGTGCCCTTTTTGCAGGATGCTGAATATGGACCCGTTCGAGGTTGGCCTGGATGTACGTGAAGTGGCGTCGGATTTTTCCACTAGTGTTTTCTTCATATTATGATGAGTTAATTTTCAGCTTTTGGGGTTTGTGGCGTCTGCTCGGAATATGACGGCACCTAGTGCAGTGGAGTCCACTCTGAGTATGCGGCTCAACGTGACGAGTAATCAAATAAGGGAGTGGCAAGCGAAGTAATAGCTGCATACGCTTTCCCTTTGAATGATGGTGGATTGATTGATTATATCAGGAAGTATAATGTTGCTGTTCGCTGCGTGGCAGTGGCGAATAAGAGAAGTCATGTTACTAATGGTCCTCTTTGGCCGTTGGAGGTGCGAGCAAGTGTGAATAACTATCGTGATGTTTTCCGGATCTCCCCTGGGAAGTACGGGCATGTGCGACGAGAAGTGACGAGTAAGTGTATGGGGCTAGATGGTGTGATGTATGAGTTTTATTATGGTTGACGAGTTTATGGTATTATTTTCAGGCAAATATATTGATGATGTCCTCCGTCCTAACAACAATGTTGTACATATTACTTATAAGACTGGTTATGATCCTAATCAGGGCGCACAGTCCGTTGCGGCACAGCCCCCGAGGTAACCGAGATGAACGTTTTACGGTATAAAATGGAGTTCACGTGAAGTGGTGTAATGGTGCATCACCCCGTGTCACTCGTCACATGCGTTTTTTAAGGGATGAAACTCCAGTGTTATCGCAGGTTCTTCTTTGGTGTTGTTGTGACTAAGCCTGTGTCACCTGAGGAGCTCTTAGCGAGTGTTGTGAAACCCTCGTTGGAAGAGTGCCGCAGACAAGACCTGGACATAGTCATGTAATGCGATGTGGGGAAGCGTACACGTGGTCAGTGTTTTTTATATTCAACAAGTTGTTGGTTACTAACAACAATGGTTAGCAATGGCATCCTTGTCAGCTTGCCGGTGGAATACGAATAAGGTGTGGGATTATTAGAGGAGAAAATGAATTATAACTTGACCATTTTCCTATGTTCTTCACATACTTTTCCTTTTTTCCCATTACTCTTCTCATCTCCCCATTACTTTTCCGATTTCCGAATACCCCCTATCTTCCCCATTTTTTATTAATTTTCCCAATCCCCCCGTTACTTTTCCGACTTTCCCATCAATTTTGTGATTTTCCCGTTACTTTTCCGATTTTCCCAATAAATTTCCCAGTTTTTTCATATACTTCTCTCATTGCTTTTTCTCTACTATTTTACCATTTTCGTGTCTTTTCAGGCTCGGTCGGAAAAGAGCTCGGGAATTACAAGATGAAGATCTCCAAGTAGGTTGTGAGTTTCCTCGATCATCTCTAGTTTTCGAAGCTCAGATTAACACTCGTGAGGTTCACGACATACTGCAAACTAAATGCCCGATATCGCTATGCGAAATAGAGCTGCCGGCTCGCGGTGGGTCTGTCGGTTCTGCTTTTCCTGCTTGAGTGATGTTATTCTATAGGAGTTGATTGTGAACATTTACAAACTTTCGATGCGAAGGCGTATATAGACATTAATAAGTTAACTGCTAACGTGGATAAACGGTAGTTCGCCGCGCGGGGTCGAGTCCTGGGGTGCAGACTGGCTTTTGTAGGTGGCATTGTCCAATATGTTCGAAGCCTTGTTTGCCGAGTCAACTAGTTCTGGACAAGTTCGCTCTGGAGGCCTTGAAGAACGGCCGAGTTGCTGCTGATACTGGTAGTACTGGAAGAAAAGGAATGTTTTGTTGGAGTTTCACTTGGAATTTTCACTAGAAAAATAACACAATTTTCAATGTGAAATGTGTTTTTCACTAGTGTTTTTCATCTGTAGCTGCTTCGGATGACGAAGAATGGTTTAACAAACGGATGAGGCTGGACGGACAGGGTCGATGGGAAGTTCTACCAGATGAGGACGTGAGCTGGAATGGGGTTACTTGTCGTCGTTGTGGAGTGTTGAGCGTTGGAGGAATATATGTTTGCTGAGCTTGGGAGTTTCCCCATTGAATATAGAAGTTTACGTAGAAATCAGGGTAGAAATGTAGAGAAATTAATGGGAATTTTCCTAAGTTTCCTCGGAATTTTCATATTGTCAACAGCATATGTCGATATTTTTCTGCCCGCACTGGTGTAGTCGTAGTAGGAATAATTTGCTGTTATCTTAGTTGGAGGGCGAGGAGAGTGAAAGTGAAGAAGATAAGCCTCCGAGTGACGTCCCGATGCCGCCGGAAACAGCTCCTTCTACTGATGGTAAGTTGTTGTTGTTGTTGTTGTTGTTGCTGTTGTTGCTGTTGTTGTATATGTTGTATATGTTGTTGTTGTATATGTTGTCGTATATGTTGTTGTTGGATATGTTGTTGTTGTATATGTTGTTGTATATGTTGTTGTTGTTGTTGTATATGTTGTTGTTGTATATGTTGTCGTTGTATATGTTGTTGTTGTTGCTGATATTTGAGCTTAATAGGACGACCGTGCAAGAGTAGAACCATTATGTGTTCATCACGTTTACGACCTAGTCTTGAATATTGTTACCCTCATAACGTGCTTCTATCTTCCTCGCCTTCTTGTGGTAGGTGTCTCTAACCCAGTACTAGGGAGTCCTGGTGAGGATGCTAGTCCTGATGCTGCTGCTGCTAGTGATGGGGAGAATGTCGTGAGTTTAGATGACTAGGCTGGAAGATCTAGAATGCTCTCCCCATTCGTGCTACATAATACCTAGTTTTATAGCTACCTCGGGTGTCTACGATGTCGTAGTAGCATCACGACTGCGACCACGACGACGACGATGAGCGAGGATGTACGTTTATACCTATGATTACGACACAACTGCTGATGGCAATCTAATGTGTTGTGTTTATGATGAGGAAAGCGAGTAGAGGATTTATTGTTACTGTTGTTGTTACTGTTACTGTTGTTATTGTTGTTGTTACTGTCGTTACTGATGTTACTGTTGTTGTTACTGTTGTTGTTACTGTTACTGTTGTTATTGTTGATGTTGCTGTTGTTATTGCTGTTGTTGCTGCTGTTATTACTGTTGTTGCTGCTGTTATTACTGTTGTTGCTGCTGGTATTGCTGCTGTTGTTACGGTTATTACTGTCGGCTGTTGTTACTGTTGTTGATACTGTTGTTGCTACTATTGTTGTTACTGTTGTTGTTACTGATGATGGTCTTCAGCGTCTAACTCCAGAGTGAACTTAGTTGTAGGGCCGTTCAGTAGCAGAACCATCATGTGGCCGCAGTGTTGTGCTAACTATCACCAAATGAGCGTTAACTTACTCTCTCTACTTAACTCTGGGTTGTTGCTGTATTCGATTCTGTTAGTATTATCACTGTCAATGGACCCTCCCAACTACGACCATCTATTCAAGCTACTCATAATAGGTAAATTCGCTCATGTCGTTTTTTGTGGTATTCTCCTCCTTGTAGGTGACAGCGGCGTAGGTAAATCTTGTTTGTTACTTCGCTTCTGCGATGATGAGTTTAATGACAAGCAGTTGGCGACTATCGGTGTCGATTTCAAGGTAACGTGTTTGTCGTGTGAAGGGTGGTTCAGTGAAGTCTCACCCGCGATGTGGAGAAACACTAGTGGGAAACACAACTCAATTGTGTTATCTGCCGCGGAAACATATACGTTCTACAACTCACATGGAGTATAACACCACTTGAAACGGGTAAAACTCCTGATGAGTTGTAGATTCCCTCGAAGAATCAGTTGTATATGTGATATATTCTGATAAACTACTGTCCAAATCTACATCATCATCGTAAGATGCTCAGGTGAAGTATATCTCTTCGATGGGTAAACGTTTGAAGTTGGCGATATGGGACACTGCTGGACAGGAACGGTTTCGCACACTCACTTCTAGCTACTACAGGGGTGCTCAGGTAAGTGGATAATCGCTTGATTTTTATTGTCAGCTCGAAGTTGAATACCACACTTCTTTGACTTCTCCATCGGGGGTGGTCTGTTGTAGAGGTGTACTGTATAGTAGTGGTTGCTTTTAAGGGCATCGTGCTTGTCTATGACGTTAACTCACGAGAGAGTTTCGAGAATCTGGAGTACTGGTTGGAAGAAGTTCGGAAATACGCCACAAGTCGCAGCTCAGTGAAGATGCTGGTGGCCAACAAAGTTGACGAAGTGAATGTTAGCGGAGCGAAGTTTTTTTCATTATTGTTGCCGTTGTTTTAGGGTGGTGATGTTACACGGCGAGAAGGGGAGAAATTTGCTATCGAGCATGACATGCTGTTTATTGAGAGTAGCGCCAAACTGAAAGTCGGAGTGAAGGAGGTGTGTGCATGCGTGCTGATATTTTCATACCAACTTTTGAGCAGATCTTCCAACAGTTGGTGTTGAAGATTCTGGACACGCCGGACCTGCTGGAGAACACAACACCGTTGGGAGCTACTCGTAAGAGATACCTTTCCTGACTTTTTCGATGGTTTCACGGATGTGAAATTGATAGGAAATAGTGGGATGAGCTCCGGCTGGTAGATTTCCACATATGTAACAGAATAAAGCGATTCAGAATTTATGAGTTTTTCCCCGTCTGGATTGTCTCCTACGGTGAGAAGCAGCTAAACAGAGTTTTCCCCCGTGATATGAAAAACACTAGTGAAAAAACATATTTCACAAACCACTGCATATCGCAAGATTGCATTTTTCACACAGTAGTATGTCACCTCACGTCAAACGGGTGAACCTCCAATGTGTATACCCCATTCGCTTGGCAAGAGGTTACTGTGAATGGCCCTATATATGTCTGTTGAGTGCTGATCGCTATGTATGATGATCAGCGTTACTTTAGAAGTTGCTATTATCTGATCAAGCGTTTTAACTAATTCGTCTAAGATCAATCTCGGTCTCAGTTTGGGGAAATTGTGGTAACGTCTCGTTGCTCGAAAGTCATGCAAGGAAATACTTACAATTCAACAGATCTGGGTAGGAGTGTGTATGCTTTGATGTCTCTCAGGTTCGACTAGAATTCTATCAGATTTCTCGCGAACCCAACAGGAAGGTGCCGAAGATGGTTCGTATCATGAGAGACAATGTTTGTGTTGAATACGTGAACCGGTGGGTTTTCGAATTGTATATTCGTCTTGCAATCATAGTGCAGTATTTTCATAATTGGTTTTTCTACCGCTGCATGCTGTTACTTAGAGGGTTTAGTGAGCGCTGCGTTTTGGGAAGTTGATGAAAAGATGGGATGATGAATATTTTTCATCGTATTAGAGATACCTGTGTTAATTTTCTCAACTATGGCTTCGGCAACTGTGCAGGACATCACAATGAACGACCTCTCTGAAGGTGAGCTAAAAAGGGCGACAATTTTTTTGACGGTTTCTTTGAGGTTCTTCATCGAGAGTAAAAAGTTATATGGCGAGTAAAGTGGAGGCCTTGGAGGCGATAATAAGAGAAAAACAACAGGTATAGTGTTGGTGGAGTGTTCACGAACTGGCTTGTGAAGAAGTGTTTTAGAACGTTAATCGTCTCGAGGCTCAGAGGAATGAGTTGAACAGCAGTGTACGACAGTTGAGGGAGGAACTACAGGTAAGTGGTGTTGGAAGTCTTTATATGAGTGAAATCGAGAGGGAACATATGAGATCAAATATCGCATCGGGTAGCAGAGACTGGAGTTTTTAACCCATTTCTTTGTAAAGTGGCATGACACTGTATGTGGAAACGCGATATGAAGTGAATTGAAAACACTTCGCGAATAAGGGTGGGCAAATCATCCCATATCACATGAAGAACATATCACGTGTTTTACGGCTCATGAGCGTTTTTCGCGTAGTGAGATGTGGAATATGTTTTTCATATCACGGGTGAAACTCCGGTTAAGTTGGTGGAAGATATCCCAATGTATTAAAAAATATGTTTTTCTTCAGTTGTTGTTGGAACCGTGCAGCTCTGTGGGTGAAGTTGTGAAGCCGATGGGAAAGAATCGCGTGTTGGTGAAGGTAGACTGCTGTTGTTGGTGATGATGGTTATACTGTTACTTGTTATAGAGTGGTAGCGAAGGAAAGTATGTTGTTGACGTGGACCCGAGCATCGACATCACTAAGTGCACTCCTACGACGAGGGTTGCCCTCAGAAGCGACACGTAATCTACATTGAGAGTCTATAGCGCAATTTCTGTTCACAGAGTTGGCAATACCTGTGTACCTGTTACATTCACAGGTTTACATATTGTGAAAATTATATGTGTTTTTGCTCAGCTGAGCTCAGGAGTTTCCTCGTTGTAGAAGGCTACTCAGGAAACCGGGTAGAAGTCTATAGAACTCCTTTAATTTTCATATTGTCGCCAACACATGTTGTTTTTCAAGTGCATATTTCTCCATACTAGTAAAACAAATCGGATATAGCATTGATGAAGTAGCTGCGAATTCACATGATATCAATGCTATCAGATATACTCTACATAAGCTGCTTCCCTCGAAGGTCGATCCTCTGGTATCTCTGATGAAGGTGGAGAAGGTCCCGGATAGCACCTACGAGATGGTTGGCGGCCTCGACAAGCAGGTGAGTACAGTGCGTAAGTTGCCACTGTGGAAATTGCAGTTGTTGTAGATTAAAGAAGTTAAAGAAGTTATCGAGTTGCCGATCAAGCATCCTGAAATCTTCGAGAGTTTGGGTATTGCTCAACCCAAGGGTGTACTGCTGTGAGTTGATTCTAATGATGTGATTAGCTTGGTCATTCTGCGTGATGTAGATACGGTCCACCAGGAACGGGAAAAACCCTGCTAGCTCGTGCTGTGGCGCATCATACGGACTGCACTTTCATCAGGTGGGTGACTCGGGGTTTTGACTCTGATGAGGTTTTCGTTTGCCTTAGAGTTTCGGGAAGCGAGTTGGTCCAGAAGTATATTGGTGAAGGATCACGAATGGTAAGTGGGGTGTTTGGGGATATAAGGAGGAAACGGTTTATGACAGTGGCTGTGTGGTGTAGTGGTATTTTTCGAGTTTTGGGTGTGCGAGATCTCGGGCTCGATTCTCGGCACAGACTTCTTTAGGTTCGCGAGTTATTCGTTATGGCTCGAGAGCACGCACCGTCTATCATCTTCATGGATGAGATCGATTCCATTGGAGGGCAGCGTGTCGAGGGAGAGAGCGGTGGTGACTCGGAGGTAGGCAAATGCAACCCGGATTTTCTTGGTGACGCTTTTCCCGTCTAGGTGCAGCGAACAATGCTGGAGCTACTGAACCAGCTGGATGGTTTCGAAGCATCTACTAATATCAAGGTGAGGGGAGAGTAGCCGCTACTTGGGCAGCAACCATACGTTATGTGATTCAATCGCAGCGATTCAGTCAGCTCCCACTGAACTGTGCTATCGGTTTAGAATAGGATCGAGAGCTCTATCTATTCCCTGGCCTTGATTTGAGCGATAATGGGTGTTTGATATTTAGGTCATCATGTGTACCAACAGAATTGATATTCTGGATGACGCTCTACTCCGTCCTGGTAGAATTGATAGGAAGATCGAGTTCCCCAACCCGAATGAGGTGAGTGATAATGCTGCTGCACATTTTTGGTAGACGCTTATTTGCTATAGGACGCTCGGGTTGAGATTCTGAAGATTCACTCGAGGAAGATGAACCTTATGCGTGGCATCAATCTGCGCAAAATTGCCGCTCAGATGAACGGAGCCTCGGGAGCTGAATCGAAGGTGACGCCACTAATACTACTGTGGGAATTATAACTCGTATGATGTGATTTGTATAATCATCTTCCGTGGAATTGGTGGGTAGGTGGTGTGTTTCAGGCCGTATGCACGGAAGCTGGTATGTTCGCTTTGAGGGAGAGGAGACAGCATGTTACACAAGAAGATTTCGAAATGGCAGTTGCCAAGGTGACTATTGGCCGGAATATTTTCCCCACTTTTATTGACTGTTCATGTACAGGTTATGCACAAGGACGCGGACAAGAACATGAGTCTGAAGCAGCTGTTCAAGTAAAGGAGGAAAGCAGAGGTTTCGTTACTGCTTGTTATTGACACCATCCTTCTTGTGTTTGAATAGTGTCAAGCAGGGAAAGGGGACCTTTGAAATCATGTGCATATAGTTGCCCTGTTGTAAAGACTCCTCTGCGAACCGTGTAATCATCTAAGTCAAGATTGAGCTCCGAATATAATATAGTTGAATATTATACTAATTTATTCGAAAAATGAATGGGAAATGTTCGGAATATTTCACTTTATTTTTCGGAACTTGTGGAAGTTAGTATTAGGTCATCACTCGAGCGGTCGAATTGTAAGTCGTTTTGGCCAATAAAAGTAGTCTTGCGGATATATAAGTGCACAATGGTGTACAATTGAGTCCACTGATCTCCGACTCGACATACGTTTTCAGTGAACCGCTTCATGGTGACTCCAGCGATTTATCTAGTACTGCTGTTGATCCCCATTGGGTTAGTACTTGCTATTGTTTTATTCAAGAGCCGGAAAGAACGTGAAGATACTGAACGGCCAACAGCACTGAACCTGAGAATAGGTGGTACGATTGATTCCTCCGAAGAGATTCTTCCTCGTGAATTCTCGTCAATCACATAAATCAACTCTGGACTAGGCATGGGAACTGTTGATGATCAAGTCCCACCATTAACTGATGAATATCTCGAGCCTCTACTTTATTCGCCATTCATAGTTGGTGTTGTTGTCGTTGCTAATTTGATTATTGTTCGGAATATAGTATTCACTCTAGGTGAAGCAGTGCATGCAGGCAGCCCCGTAGCTCCATCAGCACGGCGATACGCAGAAGCCAACGCAGTCGTAGATCTAGAAGTAAGCCTAGTTATTATGTATTCGCAGTGATGATCGGTAGACCATGACATGGGGTCTCGCGCTTACTACGGTAGCTTCTCGTTCGAGTATGTGCTTGTCGAATTAAAAGAACACTTAATCTGCAGTGAATTTGTTGGCCAATTAAAGTTGCGAATTCTGAAGATGAACTCACTTTGTCCAACTGTAGGGGCTTCATAACTTCTATATGATAAAGCATTTGATGGAAGCGAATGGTACGGGTTGTCATTCAGGCTGGATTGTCGCCGACTGGCACAGACTCTACACTCACTAGCGGTATGGAAATGATAGTAGGTCAGACGCTCAACCTTTGAATGGCCATTGCCTCACACGCACATGAACTCGTCGATGCTTGACAGAGATCCTCGCGATGGCTACCTAGAGTGTTGATTGAGTATTGTTCTCGTTGTTAACGCTCCGTGTGAATTATGGGATACTGTACCATTTCATTTCAGCACTCCCTGAGTTCAGTAAGTAAGATGAATGAACCCAACGTGATAGAGTATTTGCGGTTACACACGTCTCCCGAAGTGGAGGTGAGTCATTTTCGTCTCACACAGGGAGTTCGAGTCGGTGGAGCTAGTCGGGCAAAGCGGCGTGGTCATTGGTGATCGCGCGTAATCGCCGATGAGGAAATACACGACTTATGAGTTTATTGGCAAATAGAAATTCCGGAAAATGCGGGAGAGACTTTTGTGATATTTTTTGGGGTACGCGAGAGTTCGGCCAGGATCAGAATATGATAATAGCTTAGCTAGATGACTCCGTATCGTTTTGTCACCCGTATACGGAACTTAATTCTCTAGTGAGGAATGCTTCGGACGTATGAAGTGATTTTGATCTCGACCGCTTGGTTTTATGAGCTATCGAGACTGTTGAAAAGAATCGATCTGGTGTGAAGGCACTATAACTTCGTCAATTGTTTGCGTTTCATAATGGTAGTATATAACATGAAAACCACTATTGATTCATTTATGAATTGTTACTATCACTGAGTTGTCGTTGCTGCTACTGAAAAACTGACGATTCTACCCAAATAACTGTCACGTATATGCAAATAGCAAAGCTCGGATCCGTTCACATTCGTGACTAGTGTTCATTGAATTTTGAATGACCTTGTATGTGGTCGTCACAGTAGCCATTCCTGTTCAGATCCGCACAGACCTCGAGTGTGCTATTTGTCTAGAGGGCTACAACCCCGTCACTAGGGAGTTCCCTCGAAGTTGGGCCGCTCGGCTAAGGTGTGGCCATACGTACCATCATGACTGCATCGCGGCGTGGTTGAAAAAAGACGGCTCTTGTCCATTGTGTCGCCACAATGTCAGTGGTCGCTCTACTGTCCGAACGTGGTCATTGACATGAAAGTTTTGTGGAAGCATCAGTTGTTGCTTATTCGATTTTGAAACGCCTCAAGCGGCATTAGAAGGAAGCTCCGAATGGAGTTAGCATATATAAGTTTTCAACATTTTGTCAACAAGGTTGATAGTTCCCAAGCTGAGTTTTGTGAAGTACGATTATCATTATTATATTTCTTAGCGTAGTTTAGTACCTTTAGCGCGGTTGGTAGATCCATCCCCAGCGTTCTCAACGCTTCCACTGAATTGCTCTAGTCGAGTTCCTGGTCTATTGGTTTCAAGTGCAATAGTAGGAGATAGTGATGAAATTGAGTATCGGTCGCCGGGTTCATCTTGATCCACTTGTTATACGTGTTATCATGCTAGGATCTACTCAGTAGATTTGGTGTCACGACTTTGATGGTCGGCTGAGTTATTTTATTCGTCCAGATAGCCATTGACAGCCGGTGCTTCGACGAGATTCACCTGTATAGTCCGAGAAGCTTTCACCTGCACTTTCTGATAACCAGTGGAATCACAGTGAAAATGGAAACAACTGTCTTTAGAGCATATTGAGATTCTCAATTTGAGAGTAGCTTGATATGGTCTTCTTGTTATCTTCCTTTCCCCTTATTCCAAAAAGGGTGGACGTTCTGGGGTTCCCAGTTGTCGTTGTATCCTGTTTACTTTAGTCTGCGAGAACTCAGGTATCGTGCAATGGTGGCCTTGATTTCTCAAGTTACTCGTCATCCGGAATGCTGTATTTGGCAAATACAATTTGCTTGTCAGAGCTGTTTGCGACATTTCATCATTATCCGAATCCGGTGCGTACTACTCACTGTCTAGAAAGTCGATGCGTATCAGCGATCTCTGTACACTATCCAGATTCTGGATTCCAGAACAGTTGACGAGGAGTCAGCGTAAACGAAAAGCAGCCGATGGGTCTAGTATCAATCCGGTAGTGAAGGTGAGAACTCCGAGATGAGCTTACCCCATGATAGGGTCCCCATCCGTGGCGAGTTTGTTGTGTTTGTCCATTTACCATGTCCAAGCGGCAGCTTTCTATGACATCGTTCGTGTCCAAGCGACTGAGGTCATTCAGTAGCAGCAGGAGCTTAGCACTTCAATCTCAATCGACCCGGTCGAGTGCGATGGTCGCCGCAATAAGCCAACTACTCCCGGCTCGAGTGGGTCTCTAGTGTCCTCGTCATGCTCACCATCTCGGGTTGGATCTTTCGGGGGTTGAAGACCGTGAGCCACGGTGCAGTGGACTCACTCAATCAGAGCAGTGTGCGAGCTCGGGAGGTGAAGCTTATCCCGTCAAGTTCGGGTCCGTCACGGACCGTCCGTGTGCTCTCGGATTTGAGGAATGATGGACCGACTTAACCGAAGGTGCATTTCCCAAAGTCAGATAGCGAAAATGTTCGTTGCTTCGTTCTGACCTAGTACACAACCTACCCATGAATAGAGTACTTCGTCTTCATCCTGCTAATCCGCACAGTACCTTGCTATGGAAGGCGGAAGGCTTCAGGAGCCAACACGCAGAATCTGCGTGTTGCCAAAGACGGACGGACTGTCAAAAACGACTTTCTCCTGACAGTCGCCATGGATTCCCAGCTTGAGTTCACAAAGAAATGGAGTCGGAAACTACGGTCAGTGAGTCACTGACAGTGACGGTCACTGAGTGACCGTACCGAAACCGCCTTGAGTTGGCTAGAGAGTATAAGCGACTCATAATGAGCCCCTGCGATAACGTGGTTGGTTGTTTGGTCTGGTTGGGTGTGACCAATAGAGGTTGATGAGGATGCCGATGACGTGGAGCTCCTTGCTGAATAGAGTATTATGTCCCCTGATAGCTCTTGATGAGCATATTTGTCTCGGTTAGGGTCAATTGGACCCTTTGTGTTCATGGGCGAGCCCGGGGTGGCTTAACAATGGGTTTGAATTCATCGAAATAAATTGTATGTGTTCGTCTATTCAAAAATCACTAATTACTGATAAAAACCGCCAATTTTAAATTAGCAGTTTTTCAGCAGCCGTCAGAAGTGCGAGTGGCACTGTGCGACTGCGAGTCTTTGCTTCCTTCAAGACTTCCTGATGTTGATAAGGCGCAGTGCACGCCGTGATTCCATAGGACTCGCTGACCGAAGAAAACTCAGCTGATGAATTCCGACTTCAAGTCGGAATTAAAAACCAAGTTGGTTTTTAAACAGGAAGTGGCTGAATCGTGTCCTGTTTTAGGTGTCATGAAGTTAGATCTGCCTAGTCTACCAGAAACTTCTTCGGACGGTGAGACGTTTGGACGGACGTCGCGCATCACGTAATTGGTTCCGAGTCACTGCAACTGATGGGGGAAGCTCGGGGCGTCTATCGACAGTAGGAGAGCTAGGGGCAGTCTCTCCATAATCGGCGACGGAACTGAAACAGTGGTTAGAGAACTGCCGTATAGGAAACAAAGTAAGTGACACTCACTCTGATGAACTTTCACTGAGTGTCCCTCAGATGATGCTGGAAAAGCCTTGGGGTTCGATTGAGATTTTCCTTACTGAGAAAATATCTTGGTGGAGAAATCTGTAAGGTTTGCCTGAGAATAGCGACCTCATCCTGAGGTCCGAAAACTCGTACAGAAAGGCGTCCGACCGACGAAGACAAGTTCTTCCTATTAGAGAGAATGAAAAGGAGGACGACAATTGTAAGATTGTATCGCCGATCGTTGACAGCTTACTGCAATTCTGAAGAATAATGAAGTATAAGTAGTTCATGAATATCAAGTATAAAATGATGTTCTATAGGCGTCTTGCAATTCTCGCAGGTTCACCACCAATATAAGTGAATCCGATGCTGGGAAGATCGTATGGATGTAACATGTATCAGCAGCTTGTACACTAGTTACCATGCCTCTGGCAATCGTGTTGAGTTCGCATACGAGTCAGGTCAGCCTGTGAAGAAGCTTCTGACGACGTATGAAGACCGTGGAAAACTCGATCATATGGATGGATGGTGCAAATACGCAAATTTTAACTCATCATTCGAACCTCATATCAAATCTCCTGCAGATTTGGAGTAATATGGAGCTGGAAGAACTGCCGATAGACTCGTGCGAATTCTCGATACGATACGGTGGAGAATGGTGGTAAAACGTCACAATGACAAGCATGCGTACTTTCTGTTACATTGTTTCCATGAACGCCTGATCATGTTGTTGTTACCGTATGAGTGAACACAACATTCTTGTTTGTGTGCACAGTGAAAAATAGCGCAAATTTGAAAGGGGGCTGCCTCTACTCAGACGGCAACAAGTTTAATTGATTACATCTATCAATCACAATCTAGTTTCTCTTCCGAGAGTAGTAGATCGTGATGCTACGGTGACTGCAAGACCTTTGCATCACGAAGTGTTAAATTAATCGATTCTATGAGAAGTGTCATCATCCGATATGAAACTTTCGAAGAAGACTTCGTCGTCTCCACAGTCGGAAGCAGCTGATGACGATGATAGTTCGAATGAGAGGCATTCCAACATCGAAGATCTCAAGCTCCCCTTGTTCGATGCGGGGGAATCGGTATTGGTGCCTGAAAGGTATAATACCGATAGTTTAGCAAGCAAATACACAGTCTTATACTCGAAAGACCACAGGTTCAAATCTCGCTGAGAACTTCTCATCACAACTCAATCTAAATATGGTAAACTCCACTATACTGGAGAAAAGCTCTCAAATTTCTAGGGGGGAAACTTCAATGGAATAAAAGCCTACACGTTTCCTACTTGGGGTTAACACAGCTCCATTATCAGCGGATTCATCGATGCACTCCTTCGTGGTGGACTCCTCGTTGTTGTTGTTCTCGCAAGGCTTATCAACGGGTATAGTCGCTTGCTGAACAACTTCATCTTTCGAGGGTACTAGCCGCGGCGGGCGTGGCCGGCGTAGGACTAGTTCGGCTGCGCGAATTCTGCGACGACGATTGCCACGGTCCATAGGGCAATCGACGGTTCTCCATCGGTGTTCCCTGGGACGAATGGTGCTCTCGCGCATGCTCACGCTAAGACTCACTCTTTGGAGTTATCGTCGGAGCACTTGGGGTCAGCCGAAGAGTGAAGATCGACGAGCCGTTCCTGAGATCAGTTTGCGATGAGGTGTTTGCTCGTTGTTGTACCTCGGAATCGACACCTTTTGGAACGACCTGACTGGACGAGGTGAAAACAGACATAAAGTGATGGCCGAGCAACCACAGCCGTGATGGGAAGCTGATAGGTTGCGTGTCCAGACCAGTGTTGTTGGAATATATGCTCGCTTTCCTCAGCTGAGCTCAAGAGTTTCCTCACTAATTACAAGAGTTCACATAGGAATTTGGGTAGTAGTGTACAGAAACCAACGAGAATTCTCTAAATAACCTCAAAATTTTCATAATGTCATCAACACATGTAGTTGACCATGCACATTTTTCCCGCACTGGTCCAGACTGCAACAAGAATAGTGGGCCCCCACAATAATCATCGACAATTTTGCTACCATAATTTGACTAATTTGCAAGTCTTCTAAAGAAGATCTTCGAGTCGCGCACGCCCTGATATCTGTCGTACATTGCAATTGCTTTATCACTTCTAACGATGATGATCTCAACTCTACCTGATTTATCCCCACAAGGCTGCCTAGCGTTGATGGTAATCGAAGGATTATTCCTCCTCGTATTACAGGTAGTATTAGAGCAGTACGACAGAGAGAAATACCATCGACGATTCCCTCCTACTTTTTATCCTCACACCGAATTTTATACGTTAGAAATTTCAAAGGAATATATTGGAGTTCCACCTGTTTTACGTGAAGTGGCGTAAAACTCTGTGAAAAACGCGATATTCGCGGCCTGTAGTAGTCGTGAAATATGTTTTTCATATCACTAGGGTGGTGGAACTCCATTCATATTCATTCTCGGGATCATTGGCTTCAAAAACGAACTAGATGTTGGAAAGGTGTGGTATGATAGTTTTATTTCTCTTCAGTTCGATACGAGGCACTTCTCCGATTTCGCCGCTAGAAAGATGTGCCATTCGCTGAGCGGACTCATGATGCTCTTCTTGCCCCCACAGTAGGTTTATACTCGGCGTGGCTCTAGGAAAGGCTTCCCATAGGTACCTCCTTTGCCGGCTCTATGTGTATGCGGTAGTAGTAGTAGGATTGACGATGACGTGGCAGCTTGTGCCGGCCTTGCCTAAGTGGCGCTTTGGCGACTTCGGCGATATTGGAATTACCGTCTACCTCGTTATTGTCGGGTAGTACTACGGATATGCTTAAATTCAACGACTTATTCAATCGTCCTATGATTGCCGGCCATTACACTTTCTCCTAATGCATTTGATACCACCCTGCACTGAAGAGTCCTAGGAAACTACCAATAGACCCTTTGCAGATCATTTAGCTGTGCTGTATATATCGGATAAGTTCATATTCTCGTGGATCGCGGTGTTAGTCTATGTATTTTATGTAGCGATAGGAATTATAATCAACATTTATCACCGATGAAGCAATGAAAAAGTATCATGAAATTGAACTTTGACGGCTAAATGACATTTCAGGTTCTGGTTCTATTTTGAAAACCCCGTAGCTGTGCTCGCCCCCATTTTTTTCGCGGACCCCAGCGGAGCGGTGGTTGGCAAGTGGGCGTCGAGAAATATACCTAAGTAGTATCTTCAACTGAGTTACCCGATTCAATGGCCTATGGTGACTATCTCCTTTAGGCATAACCCTGCATGGGTTGGTACTAAGACCGTTATAGGCTCACTGGCAGTATTCGTAGTTACGTTCCTCACCTTATACAGACCAACATCGTTTACACTGAGATTCATGGTAATGTAATTTTGACCTCCTATGCAGATCACTCGTTCTCTCTCGAATTTGGAGTTTGAATGTGTCCAGCTGTGAGTGAGAGAATCTGTTGCGTAACTTGTTTTGTTTCGTGGCGCTGAACTCGTTCGAGAAATCGACCGACTGGGGTTCGAACTCGGGACCTCGGGTATGTGATATCGCCTTTCAGACCTCCTTAACAACAATGCTTGTCGAAGGGTTCGGCGGTAAGTTTGACAACTTTTATGTCGCCTTGGTTGTGATCAGTGCCTGGCTTCTTTTCCCGGCTAATTGATCTGTTCAGTAAACTACAGTTTCGTGCCACTAGCGTGTGTTCTTGGGCGTTGTGTTTTCAATACTGAATAGTTTCTCCTGCTGATTGGGCGACTGAACTGTGAGCGATTTCTTCTGCTATAAGGTTGCTGAATTCTGACTTTCTGAAATTTTCCATGGGGTCGGCGGCTGATCTCATACTACCCTTGTGAGCTTGCTACTTCGCTGGAGTCGACGATCTTATTCGAATTGTCATAGGTTTATAGTAGGTTTGTAATGGGTTAAATACTGTAGTAGTGGTAGGGTTATAATCTGTCTCTGATGGAGGTCTAGGAATCTACGGAAGAAATGAGATTTTGAATAGCCGTGAGGGCGGAAAGTCGCAATAGCAGTGTTTTCAATCGCTACCATGAACTTATCCATCACTCGGGAAATCGATCTCCAGTCTGGACTGCTTTGGTGGTCATGATTACCCTATAATGCTTGGCATCCTCAGAGTTTCCCTGGGTGCTTGCGCTCAGTTGAGCTCCCCTTTGTGCTTCACCGAGGATCGGTCAGCCGCTGATGTAGGGATCTTGGCGTCGTCGAATATCTCGAAATAGCCCACCATCTCGAATAAATCCTAGACCCGGGAAAGATCAGCTCCTAGACTCCACAACTGTTTCAACAGTCGTTTTCAGTGTCCTACGCGCCGCCTGACTTCTCCCTACCCTAGACTCGTTGTAAGCGTCTCTCCTTTGGTCAGGGTCGAGGCTTATCCTCATTGGCTACCTGCAGTCATAACTCTAGTCGAGGCTGTTGGTTTGAGGTATGACAATTTAAACGTTGAAGCTGCTGCTGGTCTGATGGTGTGCACTATTGATTTTCCGAAGGGTTGCGATGCCTTGTGCTTCCATGTCGGCCAGGCATAGAAGAGGAGTGCCCATCGATCACAAGCGATTACGTTCATATCTTACACCGTCAGTCGGTTTCACCCATTACGGAGTATTGTGTTGTACAGTAGCGCGAACCAAGGAAAAAATCAGCGGCTAATAGGTCATCGCACTCGTCGTCATCTGTGGCTTCCTAATGATAGCCGTATGATGCATTATCTGAGCGAAGATAATGGACGAGGCATGTGGTCGTTGTCAAGAGGATACTGTCCACAAGTTGGAGAGAGAACATCCTTCAGTACTGCGGACTGTAATCGAGTCTTGTCATCTAGATAGACTCCACCATAGATTCCACTGCACTAGACGATGGTTGTGGCTGGTTAGCGGCATAATTCTCCCGAGCGCTTTTGAGCTGCCAATATGAGGGGGAGATCTGTTGCTCTGACGCAACTTGATCATTATCTCGAAGATGACACACATCTCAGCTTGTCACATACATGCCAATTTCGATGTCGCAGAATACCTTTCCTCTCCGATAGTCTCATCATTATACCAACCTTGCCGATAGGTTTCTGGTGCCCCGTTAGTGTCCTCGCTAAGTCCCAAACAAGTGTGAGGGGTGTGTTAGCTAGGAATCTAACGCCTTCGATGGCTGACTTTGAGCTGAATCCGATATGCAACTTGAAAACGAGCTCTGCTGTCTTGAGCGTTAATGCCGTCACAGCGAATAGACAAAACGGCTCGAGAACAGCGGTAAATACTTATCACAGCATTAGGAGGTAAACACTAGGCCCCAAAACCGTTGCCATCGCTTGATACTCATCCAACTACAGTATAACTCAACAGCACTTTTCAAGGCAGAATGGTATCACGATAATCAACGCTAAAGTAAACTGAGATGAAACCTAATGTACGTCTTCAATCAATGCTCTCGCTGCCTTGCTCACCCTCGATGTTCGTTGTGGTTTTATTTTCAATACAGGATACCATCCATCCCACGAAACAACGTAGGACTGGGGTCCTCCGGGTTCCTCTTTAGACCGCCGCACACTCTCAATGATGCTCTTCAATAAGGCTTCTAGGCGACCAAAGAGATCGAAGAATCGACCTCGGACCCCAACCTGATCACGACTGAGTGATTCCATTGATGCCACTTCAGTCCACTTCGTACGAGCGATGAGCAAATTGTGTACATCACCAAGGCAGAGTTGACCGTAGACGTCGGCCCAGTCGAACCTTCGCTTCACCGACTTCGTTTTGAGTTCCCAGTAATGGGGGCATTCGCTGCCATTCTTCAACCCGCCTCCTCGCTTCATTTCAATGCGGCTTCCGGGAAGGCTCGACCATTCAGCTTTCCGTGACACCGACCGCCAGGCACCACCGTCAACGGCATCGATCTCCGACCGCACAACGAGAGACACACTGCCAAGGTTGAGAGCAACAACTCGGCGGAAAGACCCCAGTGTGCTGGCAGTAGTCATTTGGCGTTCAAACGAGTGACCACAACCGAAAACTTGTGCCTCCGCTGGCCCAACTCGTGTGAGGACAATAGTCCTACCGACGACGTCAAGGTCTATTTGAAAGGACTGGTCATCAAAGGTGTCCCAATTCGGCTGGAGAGCTCGCATCAGCTTTCGGAGATTGTTTCGGTCGGTGACTATGTCTACTGCCTGCCAGTCAAAGTCTGGTGTACAGACCGCCACGGCTTGGAACAGGGACTCTGTCGGAGACTCTTTTTGGCGATACAGGTTCTCATCGCAGAAGAACGTCCCTTGATCGTATTCGAGCTTAGGAGGCTCTTGTGAGTCTATGAGGAAGGGCGGCAAGCCCGGCACGATGATTCTAGGAACCTCAGTTGTTGAAGAAGGATGCCAGTTATAGGTAGCGATCTCCTTGGCATCCGACGGCAGGTCTGTCAGTGTTGGTTCGATCCAGTCCAGCCGAATAGTAGAAGATGACGACATTGATGCCACAAAACAACTAGAGCAGCAGGGAGGGCGCGGGTTCGATCCCTGGGAATCACATCCTATCAACGCGAACAGTCCGTATTAGGATTCGTAACCTAAGAAGGCCAACTTTCACGAGTCGACAAAAATTATGCGTTAAGGAGTTCTAAGGTAGAACAAGAGCGCAAGATTATCTCTTGAGCATCGTCATTTTTTCAATTTCCTTGCGTGTTTGTCATCAGCCACCAGTGACAACTCCTGAAAGAGTACTTGGCCCGACTCTCATTACGGATGCCTATGAAAAGTCCCTGAGTTGAACTATGACGCGGAGACCTCCTGTCGGAGGAACCCAAATACTGTTAGAGTATCCGACATGTAATTTGGATTCCACACTCGAGGGATGGGCCAGAGAAGCTTTGTCGTCTTACCTGCTAATCATTTGCTACCACACCATTTTGACATCGCCTTCTGCAGGGGCCTCGAGGCCAGTCGACTCACCCAGTAGAAGGAAAACCTGAGCATGATTGCATACCAAGTTTCGGTGGCTAGAGTAACGTCGTGTTGGTCACAGATGCTCCCGGGCTATCGGTGGTGACGCTGGGTTTGTAGAGCCTCTATATGTCAGCCGCTGAAGCGAAGACCGATGCTGGTACGACCGAAAGGGTCGTCGTCCGCTGCTGCAAGTGCAACGCTGTTGTGAGTGAGAGAGGATCTAGGAAGCATAGAAGAAGAACGAGGAAGTGAGTCTGATCGCCCTTCACTATCATCATGCTTGCCTTAGACATTCGAGCCAGCGTCCGCCACTACTCAGACCCAAGGTGCTTTATGACCTTCAACCACCTTACGCTGTTATCGCCGGCTTCCCGGAATACAAGACAGGTCAGTCGACCGCCGACTCGGTTTACTTCCAAATTGAAGCGCTATCGTTTCAACGATGCGGATCATTTTTGTCAGACTACATGCAGTTCGGTAACTACCCTGTAGACGAGATGGCTTTCGTCCGCTCTTGTAGACAAGAACCGTTAGCTTGTGGAGTAGGTCGGAATGGTCTGGATTACTGAATCAGTCTCCTCAGAAGTTCCGCCGGCCTCAAACCGAGCCTCCGCGTGCTACGTCTGAAAAAAGCCGTACCGCTTCGTACCGCACGTCCCGCTCATCGAGATCGACAAGCTACGGCAGCAACTCGTGCTACTCGTGTTCGAGGAGCTCACGATCGACAGGGACCACTTCTACTGGATACACTAGCACCTCCGGGTCGTAGGTCGCTTTTTCATTGTTCATTTTTTCATTGTTTTTTGCTTGTTCATTCTTCGACGCTGTTCTTCTTCTGTTCAGATACTCATTGTCCTCAACCTACGACTCTTGTTCGTCGCATTCGCTCCGCCCAGAATCCCTTTAACCATGTCATCTTAGCTGTTGTTCGTTCATCGTTGGCACTGTTGTGTTCAACAAGGAGTACAACGTATATTTTGGCCTAGCGAATAGCCGAAGAAACTTTGAATCATCGAGTGTATATCTCCAGAAACTTTGATGGCTCCTAAAAAGTCCTTCCCCAGATGATCGCAGCTTTTTCACGAGATTAACGACACCTGAAGTTACAAGCGTTCGTTGTTGATTTCTATTGTGATTGGGGGTAGCGTGATAGGACAACAGACGACGTGATTAGGCAGGTCTTTGAGCTCACGATTCGTTTGTTTTATGTACTTCGAACAAAACCAAGTGACTGAACCAGGAAAAACTGGTAATATAATCAAATCATTCGATTAGGTGATTGTTGGGGGTTGAAAATGTAAATATTTTTTATCATAAGTACCAACGGATAGGGTTAATCTGCCGCGAGGCTTGCCTGTGTAGCCTGTGAACATGTACACAACTAGATCTATGTACCAGCATAGCTTCTCCCATGCACTCTGAACGTAGTGGTATGCAGATCGGATTTTACGACCAATGTATTCCATTGTGGAAGTCAACCAATGTGGAAAGCACGTATGTCTTCTGGAAGAGGATTCATCACCAAGGGTACTCCTGTCATCATCATAAGCATAAAGCATCGCCGAATCCGTCATTGATTCATCACCAAGAGTACTCTGGTCATCATCATAAGCATCATCATCCCAATCAAAATCATCGATGCGATCCATGTTGTCGTCATAATCTTCTCGATCCTCGCTGTCGGGCTCGTCGCTGTAATCATTATCATCCGAGATATTTTCGTAGTAGCTGTCATAGTGATCGCCACCACTGCCAAGTAGTGAAGACGTCTGACTCATCGTAGGGGAGGATGTAGAGTTTGTGGTGTCACCTGGCTCAAGGTCGAGTCTTCCCAGTGCTAACTCAACTGAGGCTTGAGTCTCAAGAGGGTCGCTGTCTACGGGGATCCCCATTAGGTAATGATAGTGATACTAACTATAATAGAGCTACTATCAACGTCATAAACCGATATTCCCTTTACTAATCCCGCAACGGACGTACTTGTACTAAGCGTTGGGCGCTTAACGTTAGTTAAGCGCGAAAACCGTCCAGTTACGGTCTTTCTCAAGAAGGTTATTGGCATGGTTCCTTTTTCATGACTGATAAAGCAACACTTCTGATCAGTAAAATGCAGTCCATTCAGACTATCCAGCTGTGTCTCAAAGCATGCGCATGTCATTTCTTGCGATTGAATTCATCCTGACCCTCGGCAAACGACTTCTGGTACGCCTGAACATCCTTCGCGATATTCCTGAGGAAAAAACACCCCTACACAGCGTCTCAACAAATGTGATGCCCACCCTTGGACTTGAGCCCACAGCCTGCTCCTGGCTCTTCCCAGTTCAGAATCTACCGCTGAGAAACGCTTCTGAATACTCTTCTTTTCCTTGCTAACGAGATGCGAACAATACAGAGGGGGTCGAAAAACAGCTTCTCTCACAGTTGAGCATCTTTAGCCTTTCTCTGCTCCTTTCCATAGGCCATTAGTTTCTTCTTCATCTCGTCAAATATAGGATCGTAAGACGCTTTCAATCTACTTGAAACACATTCCCTCAAGGTCAACACCAGTAGGCTCACTTGTCCAAGTCATTGTTGGCAGTAGCAGTTCTCTTCGCAAGATCCCCCAAGTTCTTCTCAACTAAAAATACCTCAACTGTCGCATTCCTAACAAGCTAGTGTGCTCACGTTCATCGCTAGGCCCGCCAAGGCCTTCAATGCTACTGATAGCACTGCTCGTCCTGTTCATCTCTTTCTGTATCTTGAGATGGTGAGCATGGAGCGACTTTTCAAAATAATTTCATACCTCAACTAGCGCATCTTCCACCAGAGAGACAAAGCTCGCCTGTACATGTTCCACCCTGGCCGTCTCCTCCATCTTAACGCCCTTTTCTGCCGCGATGTCTTCAAGTAGTTTTTGGTCCATTGCTCTGAAAAGGTAACAGGATGGAACGCAAGTCGATGATCGCACACGTTTAACTCATATCGAGATGCCAGTAAACTTACAGAGCCGAATGGGCAAGACTACGTGCTTCATGAGCAAAAACACCTTCAGTCGAGCGGGCATCGCTGATGTACCGCCCAGCCGCGAGAGAGTTATACCTGGCAGCATCTCACATGGTAAGCTCGACGAGGTTTACGACTACTCACCCGAGCTGGCCACCATCCTCCAAGGCCGCCCGCAACAGAGCGTTACCCAAGTCGCCCAAGCCGGTATCGACGCTGGAAGCTCTGAGGGCCTCGCCGACCTCCTGCTCCTGAATGGAGGACAGTAGGAGCAGCGTACTGCTGTCGAGGCGCGGGCTCACCTTGAGCATCTCGATGGCTTTCGATTTCTCATTCGCCATCATTTCTCTGAAAACGACATAGTACACACAGTTCGCTTGCATAGACGGTACCGCTCAACGAGATGAGCACAGAGAGCTGATTCAGCTTCGAAAGTAGCATTCCGCGACAGCCGTGCCGAACTTACGAGTATGCGACAGGAGACAAACAGGAAATCCTCGAGAGGTGAGGATGGCAGTCGATTAAAACAAAACTTGTAAAAGGACAGTATTAAATTAGTTCAGTTTTAGGCTATGGAGATGAGTTGATAACCCCCAGAAGTCCAGACTGCAAACTTTTAGAAATTTCGGAAGTAATTTTCATTCTTACTTGAATTTGGATAGATCCCCACCGAGCTGTGCTTTGACCCTCTCGAACTCCTCAGTGGTCACCCCCGCTTCCTTCTCAAGCTTTCTCTGGACGTACGCATGCATCTCATCACCACTAAGGCCGAGTTTCCTGCCAGACACCATACATTCACACCGGACTAGCTGAGGGCCTACTACCCTGCTTGCTTGATAATGCTATCGAGAGCGAAGGCTAGCTTCGTAGCAGCATTGTTCCTCTCCTGAGCCGATGAGTGTGAGCGCGAAATACGCACATCTTGATGACATCGGAAAAATTCTCATTGGTCTATACACTTCTACTCATAAATTTTCAACACATATGTAACTTCAGGAACCTCCCAGCTGAGCTGAGGAGAGCAAATATATATTCCAACGCTGGAGTCGTTGAAACCCCCAAAGGCCGCATGCAAGTCCTCACCTCTGCAACTGCGGCTGCGTCGTGACCAAATTTCCCTCGTCCGCTCTCGAGCAGTCGTCTGATAGCTTGAACCTTCTCATCCTGAATAGCCGTCGTTCATCATCCACTCGAAGCCACAATCCTCCCAACCTGCGTCATGTCCCCGTTAAGAATCTCCTCCAGCTCAGCCTTCCATGCCTTCAACATGATAGCCGCAATGCCCCCAACAATACGCTACAGCGCAGCAGGCTGATGCGACTCAGGGCAGCTGCTGACTCACCGCAAGGCCCTCCCTGCCCAACTTGATACTTTCCTTCATATCTTCGGTCCTATCCCGAACCCCTCGGTCCAAGACCTGCACTCCCCTGGCTAGCGACCCCCGAGCTCTCTCTATCTCATTTTTATAACGTGCCAACTGCTGCCTGTAAAGCCAGCGCGTCCGCACTGAAGACGCAGTCCGAAGACTCACATGAGGTCTCTCCGAGTGGTGACGAAACGCTCGGACTCCTTCTCAACATTCTGCGTTTCTTCAACACCTATGTCGTGGAACGCGCTCCCTCGATTACGTATACTATCACCACTAAAGGACAAACAGAAGTCAAACGAGATGGACCAGGGGGGCCTCACATGCTGTCAACACTCGCGAGAGCCGCCCGACTTTTATATTCTCGCTGTACAGCAGCGTTGAGCATGTCATCAATCTGGCTTATCTAATCATCACCACTACTCTACCACCATAACACACATAGCCTCTCACTTCATCCCTGAGCTCTCTAGCTCGTTGCTTGTCTCTCTCCGATGTGCCCTCCTCAGCCTTCTGCCGCGCTTCCATGAGAAGCTTCCTCGTCTGGGCGATCCTAGCCAAGCCGTCGCGCTCAACTCCATCTGCTATCTAATACCAAACACCGCATATTTTCCTTGTATACCCCCAACTGACCTTAAGCGCAGCCTGGGCCTCCTGGCCTTGAGCATCGACTAAGTACTTCTGCAACTTGTTGTTCTCTTCTACTACATCACCTTTATACTCTCTCAGCTTAGTAGCCACCTAGGAGGGGAATAACAACAGCACATAGCCAACATAGCCCTACCCTAGCCAGTCCCCCCTGTGCTTCATCATAGACTGCCGATACACCTTCCTCGTTACTGCCCAGCTCACTCAGCATTCCTCTCAAGCTACGCATCATACCCTTCTGCTCATCCTGAGGGCACAAGACTTTCGATATCAACCAGTACACAGAGGCGTTCCAGGATCAATTTTCATAAGGTAAGTACAGCAAGTAGCACAAGATCTGGTTGAGAAGCAACGCCCAGATCGTCGTCATCATTATCGTCACCTTCATTCGCCCTTTCATGCCTCCTATAGCATTGTCCAATACCCCATCAACGTCTCTTACGGCGTCTACCTCCTCCTGTTTGAACTCAGCCGAGCGATGCCGCAACGCCATAGCGCTCTCACTGACAGCACAGAGACTCCACCCCACAGCATTACTCCCAGCTCTTACCCAGTGATATCCCGTATGTCGCCATTAGCCTTAGCCGCCTCCTTTTCAAGAATAGCAGACATCCCTTGCAGACCCTTCCTCAGGTCTTCTTGACCGTCAACAGATGACTGCATGCCCCCGACCATACTCGACAGAACTCTGTCCAATTCAAACATGCCTACCACATAGAAGAGCTTCCTCTCAGAAGGCCACTCCGGACCCACCATCCTCGGTATCGTTATAGGCGTTATTCACATTCTCCCTCAGCCGACTGAACTCTCCTCGCTGGGCCTCGGCCACGCCGCCCATATCTTCCTCCATGGACTTGGTGAGAGCGGTCTTAGTTGCTGTGAGCGAGCCTGAGACCATCCAGCTGAGCATCATATCGCGGTTTCATTCGAACAACTGTCCACAGATATCTCATTCACAGTACTGGAATATACGTTCGCTTTCCTCAGGAGTTTCCTCACTAATCATACAAGTTCACACACGAGTTCGGGTGGAATCCGCCAAATTTCCCCACTGAGGAAACTTAGTGCGTGAATACTGACACCACACTGTGTAGTCCTCCACAGTTGTGAGGAATCCTCACAATTTCCATATTGCCACCAACTCAGGTAGTTGACCATATGAATATTGTCCCAAACTCCTCACTCATTATAGAATCCAGTCGAGAGAGCTCATCCGCTCCCCCACTAGCAATCGCACCAGCCACTCCATCAACCTCGCCCTTCCCGTGCTCGAGGAGGCTCCGCACGCGAACTCTGAAAATTCCGACAAGTATTATGGAGACTCCAATGTGTGAACTCACTCTTGTTTTTGACCAGCAGAAGCAATGTCGTGTTCCGCCCGACTTTCCTCGTTGGCCAGGTTCCGCTCAGCTCCATCGACCCCCCGAGCTTCCTCCTGCTTTTCAATGGCAGCTTGTCTCGTTACGTCCCCGACTTGAGCTTCGAAGTAGACGTTCTGAATAACACCAATTCCCAGCCTACACAGATGAGCCTCTCAGCACCCTTCCCGAGGCACGCTCTCTCTCCTCGTCAACCTGCTTCTTCAGGTCACCGTTAATGAGCTCAGACTCCCCCAATAACTATCGAGACAGAGTCATGGGAATCAATCAACGCCAACCAACCTGTCTCTGCATGCTGTCACTCGAGGCCATGAGCCTTCTATCCACAACATTATCAACCGCTTTCAAATTGCCTTCCACCTCCTGCAGCTGATCTGCCATCCGTCGTTTATGCTGTATCATGCTCTCCCTGAACGGTACCATCAGCGCCAAGCCATCAGATCGTACTTACTCGCTAGCAAGCAGCTGTCTTTCAACGGCCTCTCCCGCGTCCGCTGCTTTCCTGTTCACCGAATCCTCCTTCTTCCCTTCCGAGCTCAGCCACTCTCTCAAGGCCTTATTCTCTCGACTCAGATCCTGCTGGTCACCATCACATACCACAATATCGACTACTCCCACCTGATTCTGCGTCCGTTGAATAACGGCTCTCTGTGACCTCAGCCTCGACAATCTACCATTGACTCCCCTTGAGAACTCCTTCTCAGCGTTGTAGAGAGCAGCACGTGAGTCCCGCTTCATGAGGTCAATAACCGCCTTCCTTTCCCTATCCATTTCTCTCTTTTGCTGATGAGCACACTATAAAGGGCGATCCGTGCAAGTACCCTACCCGCTGCTCATAGGGCCGTACAAGGCTCTGTTGGCGCACCCGCTGCTGGAACAACTTCTGCTTCAGCTGATCCAGAATAGTCCTGAACGCTATGTGTAGATGAGTAAGGAGGCTCGCGAAGGTACATCAATAGACGATGCTTGCTAGGTGTGGTATTGGCCATCAATTTATTCACTATCGCTATCACGCGAGTGGCCGTGTCCAGTAGTTTACCGCTCTTCCTTTCTACCTGAGGGAGACGCGAAGTAGATATTGACGAATCGTGCTTGCAAACAGCCTTAGCGGGGAATCGAACCATCAACCTCTAGTGTGTCAACAATGCTACGTTACCACTAGAGCATGCCAACTTGACTCGAGAGGCTACCCCAACCCCACCCTAGAGCTGTCCTTCTCGGCCTCTTTCAGCGCCTTCAATGATCCTTTTGCTACTGTTCTCGAGTTCTTGAGAACACCTCTACTCAGCTTTCTCAGCGCCTATAAAATAGAAAATCCCGATCGGATCGGGTGAGCTGGTGTCCAAATTCAACCGCCGATCAGAATGTCACGCAGCACCAAGGGCTCTGCCGTATTCACCATCAGGACACTACCCAACAGCTTCCGATCTCAATAGGACATACCAGCACATCATCAACTGCATATGTCGGTGATGATATAAAAATTCTGAGGAAATTTTGAGAGGTTCTTGTCGGTTTCTGTGAATATAAATTCCTATAATTAGTGAGGAAACTCCTGAGCTCAGCTGAGGATCACAAACATATATTCCTCCAATACTGCTTTCATCTACAATCACACAAGAAAAAGGAAAATTCGGCCGAAGGAGTCGCCACGGCCACACCAACCTTATGCAGATTTTTGTCCATCTTCACAGTCTGCCCTAATACGTGCTTCGCCTGTTGTTTGAGGTTGTTGGCCACCACTTGAGATGTCTATCAAAAGACAATGAGAACAACCACGGAACGACATTGCGCTACCTCCGTGAACTTATCCGCCATCGATTGTTTGTTCATGTCGACTTCTGATTTAATCTCGCTGAAAAAAATGATTTCCTTGAAAACGTCACAGCCCCATTCCTCTCACTCTTCTAGATCTCGCATCTTCGGGTAGAGTCCTTCGAAGGCTTTCCCCTAAAAACAGTGATGAGGCAACTCTATGGGCAGCAAGTGGCCTACCACTGCGGGCTGCTCTACTAACACAGCCTTGAGTAGAGAAGACGCTCTCGAGGTCAACCCGTCGTGCCTGAGGAAGCACATTAACAAAGGCGAGATTGCAAGTACTTACTTCTGCTCAGGATCGACGAGGACCATACTGTCATTTAATCGGAATTGATCCATCTGGTTGGTTATCTGCTGAGACCTGAGAGAGAACATCATACACATTGGATGGGACCCGGGTTCGATCCCGGGTTAGGGTATTAAATAAAGCACTCACTCAGTTTCTGCCTGCTTCACCCTAGCAGCCATTTTCTTGATCTTGTCCCTCAGAGCTTCCGTTCTCTTGAACGCAACCGTACCACACCATTGCCACCAAAAGTACTTATCGCAGTACCAAGTTCTAAAATAAGACAGACACACGAAATCACACCGGAGCGAAGCAGCAACCTCAACGTACGTCCAATCACTCCAATAGCCTCTCATAGGTTGCAACAACATAGCATGGGCAGCAGCGCCCTCATGCAGGAGCGACTCGGGCGTGATAGAGGCATCAGAATCGAATTGGGACAGTATTCGTTGCTGATCGCTGATGGACGGCTGATTGGCCTCCATTTGGCTAGGAGGAGGCAGGCTATGCTTGAACGTCCTAGGGGGGTAGCTAGCAAGGGTTTCTAGAGTCACCGCTTGCACAGGAATCTCCCCTAAGGTGCGTAGTGGCAGCCTGGACACTTGAAGGGGAGTGAGAGTGTGCCATAGACCTTTGGTGAGAGAGGCCAGGGACGATACTGGTAGTGAGGCGATCTCCTCGGCCGACATGTTAGCCACTATTGACAGCCGGGGGGAGGGCGAGGACAGTCCCGGAGTAACACAGCGGGTGACCACGACAAGGGCCGCTAGAGCGACCCATAAGGGTGCTCTTCGCCGCCTTCTCATGTCTTGACTACAATATTGATGAAGTTGGAAATAATAGCTGCAAAGTGTCATCATGACTAGCCACTCAAATAAAGTAAATCATGCACTCATTCTAAGGTTCCAGGCCGTAGGGACTTTCTAATACAGATCGAGGTCGAGTCCCAATGTACTCTATATACGATTGCCATAGGCTGCACCGCAGTATCAGCATCTCTACTTCAGCATCCCACTATCCTGGAAGGATTCCGTAGCAAACCCGAGGCTGAGTTAGCATGGACAACAATTTCATCATTGGATGTGGTCATGACAGTCGGATGAGAATAATCAGCTATCATATGAATCTGAATGATGCGCTATTGCCCTCCTGTTCCCGACGCTTCACCGCGAGCTGCTGAGACCATCTTCTGGAATTGGCTTGTTTTCGCAGAAAGTTCCCTGCAAAAAAACATCAACATGGAAGTCTCGCCCTGGAAATCGATCACAGATTGACAATCATCTATCCTCTCAAACGTCACTTTATCGTTACTAACTACATGTGTTAGTGACAATATGAAAATTCCGAGGAAATTTGGGGAGATTACTGTTGGTTTCTGTACACTTCTTTCTACCCGAAATCATATCTAGGCTTCTATAATAACCAAAGAAACTCCTGCGCTCAGCTGGGGAAAGCGAATATCTATTCAAACACTGATCGATAGAGCTGTGAACTCACCTCATGACGTTTTTCCAAGCCTGTGCTCGCACCTCGTCGCCCTCCTTCGAAGTGTCACTCACCGCCTTCATCACGGACTTTCTCGCAGATCTGCAAGAGGTGAAAAACTATCAGCACGATCAAGTGACCTTCAAAGCCTTACATCGACTCCGCGGCGATCTCTCTATCCTTCTTCTCGTAACCAGAGGCATCCTCCTTCATTTGAGCCAGTATCGGCCTAATGCCGTTCATGAACCTGTTTGCCTCGAAAATGTGCAAACTCCGGAAGAACATCAACAACCGACTTATCAGATTTCCGCACGTCCTCCTCCACGTCTTTATTCAGGGACGCTACCGAGGAGTTGGTGCCTGAAAAAGACGAGACATTCGAGGTAATCTATTTTCCCTATAAACACAAGCCTTACTAGAGCCGAGCGTGTCGAGCATCTCATCCAAACTTTGGAAGTCACCAGTACTGCTACCAATTAAGCCTTGAATCTGACAAGAGAATAACCCACGAAGTGCTATGCAATCCTGACCTCATCGAAGGCAGATTTCGTAAGAGTGTCCACAATGGCTACGACGTCCTCTACTCTTCCTAGCGCATTCAGATCAGCTCCGTGACTCTCCGCCATCTCCCTCATAACCGAGTCCTTAGTAGCACTAAGAGAAACAATACCCTCACCGCGTAGTAGATAGGCCTACGAGACTGTGTGAATGAGGGCCTTCAGGTCGTTGCTGGAGGTCTGCCTTTCCCCATCAGCCAAGCGCTGCACGTTACGCAGCGCTATAGCGTTGTATCTACAACCGTCATAGGAGTTCAATATACAACACACAGTTCTCTTTCTCACCCTAGAGAGTTGCCAACTTCCGTTGCCTCTCCTGAAACTTTCTGACCGAGGCCATCGAGTTGGCCATATACTCCTTCCTCTCCATGTGCCAATACTTTGTCGTTTTTCTAAGGCAAAAACATTCACGTGATTATGCTGCGGTATAGTCTACAGCGATCTCCTCCTTGGCCTTGTCTCGCTCGGCATTGGCTGTTGCTCTGAAGTGGAAACCATATTCTGGAATGCTGATAATGGTGATAGTCGACACAACGTTCACTTCAGTGTACAACCACAACAAGACCTTTCAATCTCCGAAGCGGCAAAGCGTCTCAATAAAAGCGATCAGAGAAGACGCCTTGTCAAACTCAACAGTAGTCCAGCGCTTGGCTCTACGAGTAGTTCAGTCCGCCTCAAGACAATTCTTATAAACAATCGCAATATACTATATTGGCCCGATTCTCACCTAAAGCCCGTCATCTCATTCTCGACCTCCTGTCCCACAACACCAACCTCCCCAGCAGTATCCGAAGACAGCTTGGACAGCTGCTCCTCAATATAGCTCTTCATCTCGTTACCAGACAAGCCCAGGCCCCTGACAAGGAGACATGCTGATCCTCACCCCGATGGCTCTAAACTATTACTGGGCTTGTGCGGTGAGCTTGCTCAGCAACGTCGTGAAGTCCATCGTAGATTCCTTGTCGACCTGAATTCTCATCGAACTATCTATTCTTGCTGCAAAGACTGCTTACATTGAGTATGCTCTCCAACCTGACTTTATTTCTATTCATATCCTTCTCGAGGCCAGTCTCAACACCACCAAGCTTCTTGGCCTAGGATAGTACCAATGCATCCACACAAGATCGAAGACACACCATAGCCGTCGTTCACAACGACATCGACTTACTGTGCCAGCGCTATCCTCTTGGTCGGACTTGGCAAACGTTACCGCCTCGCCATTCAGTAGCTTGCGAAATTGCTCTATCATAATCTGCAATCACGAGTGACCCCCACAAACCTGTATACACCTACCCTCAAGGCCTTCTCCAGATCCCTGAGGTGGAGCTGTAGGAAGTCATGAGCGTCGCTGATATGATGGTCCAGGAAAACCAAGCCTTTCTTCAATCTCTGTTTCATCTCCTCGCGACGATGTAGCAATTCCATTTGAGTGTCACTAAACGATCAATGACCAATCTTGACAAGTAAAACAGCCTTACCCCATCATCCCTCTAGCTCTTTTCATAGAGCCCGACTCCCCCGACGTCTCGTTGCCAGAGGCACCCATCAAGGACTGCAGCTTCGTCTTACTGCGCTCTATGTCCACCATCCTACACAGTGAATATCACGACCACCACTGAGACGCCAACAGCAGAGAGCTGCTACTTGCTCTCCGCCTCAGCTAGCAGACGTCGTTTGGCTTCCTCTTGCATCTCGCCTTTCGTGAGTAGGTCCATCACCGATTTCATCTAACAGTGCGTTCCCCCAACAGCAGTAGCGAGAGTCCGGCTCACCAAGTCGCCTATTGCCATGATGTGCTCAGCTGCTACGGCGGCTATCGCCTTGTTGCGGTTCTGCATCTCATCGCTCAATAGCTTCTTGGCGTTCGTCAGCTGCTTCTTCCCTTTTGCCTCTATTTCCGATGGGAGCTGCAATAAAAATGATACCCCCAGGGATAGAACCAGAGACCTCCCCCACGAAGAAGTTACCTTAGACATATCATCGCGATTCTGCTTATAGCTTTTCGATAGGTAGCCGAGAATCTCATCATGCTCCGCGGCCTTCTCATGCGCTATCTCTCTCGCCCTCGTCTGAGCCTACACCGGGAAAATGAGCTCATCCGAAGATTCTTGTAGAAAATTCCCAACTGCATTTTCAAGTCGGACATTGCGCGATGTGCAATAAACAATGAGCTCACTTTCTCGAACCTACCTTAGCAGCATCTGAGGACAGCGCAATTAAAGTGTTATCCATCTCTTGTTCATTCCCCAGCATTCCGCCAATCTGGGCATGCATCTCTCCAAGTGCCGCTTGAAGTCGACTCTGACACAGGAGAAACGATTGGCGATATACAACCAAGCGAACCGACCTTGGTATCAGAGCGAGCCTCTGCCACATCCTTATGTGCAGCCTCAGCCACCTCCTGGACTGAATTAGTGAGGTCATGTGTCTCGTCCGCCTGTAGGTGATCCAAACCCGCAGACCCCCCACTGGCAACAGAAATATTCATCAGTAGGTCACCAGATGTGGCCTACCTCGACAAGTGATCAAGGTCCTTTAGTGCATTATCGAGGCCCTGCTGAGCCTTGGCGTTAGCCGCACTCATTTCATCATGTAAGGCGCCCATCTGCTCCTCCGAGTTGTGGACAGCATCAGCCGTGCCGCTCACGAGTGATGAAGTCGCGTTCACACCTGAAGTGGCCACCCTCGAGCATCGCAACAACGCGCCCGCCCACCTTTCTTTTCATCATTTCCTTCTAGCTTCAACTGCTCCTGCATACGCTGGTACTCTTCCTTATTGGTCTCGGCTATGGCGCCCATATCAGCATCCAAGGCCGCTACTCGCTGTGTCTGGCCTTCCGATAGAGCCTCTGAAATGCAGTAAGTTCATACCATTCCAAACGGAACTCAGGAATCGTGGCGAGAAGGACCGCCACGACAAGATGCTCTCACGTTTCATCTTGCCCTGCCGTTCATCAGCCTCAACCGCTTGTGCCTCAACCAGCCTCCCCTCTGCCTCCTCTCGGGACTTCACAGTATCAGCCATATTGTTCAGCTTGCCACTACAGCCCAGAAACAACATCACCATCGACAGCAACACGCTCGACTCACTCTGCTTGAGTGGCCGCCAGTCCGATGTCAGATTTCATCTCCGCTTCGCTCTGTCCGCGAGTTATGTCCGCGTTGTCGAGTTGCGATTTCTCGGCTTCTTCCACTGCAGCCTCTTGCCGTTCTACTTCCTTCACTTTAGCCATACCCAGTGTACGCTGAGATGATTCATCACGGTCATCATCAACGAAGAGAAAATTTTGTCACGCGCCACGAAATTCTAAACAAGTTTGTTACCTCTCGTCCAGCAGCATTCTGCGCCGCCATCTGGAGATCCTTCAGATCGGCGTTCACCTGTGTCGCTTCTCTGCTCGTCTGACCACAAAAAAATACTCGATCCAGGGTTCGAACCCGCGCCCGCATCCTTACGTCCCTCTTCATCTCCTCAGTTTCCTGCTCAATCCTAGCCTCCATATTCCTCTCGTTTTCCTTGAGGGAGTCTCCAAGCAGTTTATGAGGTCCTTCAGCTCCTTCCACTATCCCATGCATCTCACTTCTGCCAAGCAACAACAACACAATTTCAATAGAAGCACGAGGGGACGAGAATTCTATTCCTTCACGACATCACTCCGACATCTAAGACCAATATAGGCCCTCCCTTGGCAACGGTTGAAGCAGCCACAGCTCACCCTAGCTCATCCACTGCCGATGCCTGATGCTCAGCTGCCTTTAGGAGGTCATTCACCAACGGCCATTTAGAGACACTATCCGAGCCCGCCTCGTCAGAAAAGTGGCGGTCAGCCGTGCCGAAATCCTAACAGAGGCATCGTGAAACACGGAGGGGAGGGACCAGGAGTCACCCGAAGAGTATCCCGAGTTATGGTCTCTCTTCTCTGTCGTAGTAGCCGAAGTCGCGCATTGAATGCCCTATCGCTCTTTTTCTGCCGATTCCTTATATCCTTATCGTCGACCTTCAGTACTCGAATGGCCTTGTGACCAGTTGCTTGCACTTTACGCTTAGACTGAAGATGAACAAGAAGAAGAACATCATCGTCTCAAATCATCCACCCTGGACAGATGCTCACCTGGCCAGCCATCTTACTCGCACTGCGCTGAAACCTCTTCAGGGCGATATTTTTCTGATAGTCTCCCAACTGTGTCATGACCCTAATCACACACATAAACAGAATACGCGAGGGACAGGCAAAGACGAGACAATGTTCAACCAGAGCACTCCCTCCAACTCACGTTTTAATCGCCTTTCGTCGTTCGGGACCTGCCGTGACGAAGCTCCGCAATGTACTATCAGCCCGATCCGTTCTTGCTATGAAGAAGCGTGTCGTCCTCTCCAACTGATACATGCCATCATCATCGACACCTACACCCCCCCACGATTGACCTACCTCGTTGAGGATTCGAGTGCTGTGCTTCGCATGCCGCGCTGTCACCATCAGCAGAGCCCTCTGCAACTTGTACACCTTTTTAATTAATACTGATATCGACTGAAGCACCCAGTAAATCGTCTAAACCGATGACATTCAACTTTACCTTCATAAGGTTGAGGTAGATCTTCTTAGTACTGGTGAGCAGGACTTTGCCGTTTCGCTGCGCTATATCGGCAAACTTCGCCGCGTCCTGAAGGGGAACCAACGCTCAAGCGACGCACTATGAACTACTTCGAGGCCATGGCAGACGACCCGACCTACCTTCTCGAATAACTCATCGTAGTTCTCCTTCTCCTGTGTCACGGTCTTCTTGATATCCCTGGAAAGGTAACAGATACAACACTGACTGCACTAAATCATCCTACTCCTCAACATCCTTCATGCCTCTCTCTTGACTGGTCATAGTCTCCACCTACAACAACAACTGGTTTCCGCAGTTCAACTTGCTGATCACCAAGCCCACAGCTATCATAACCCCACCCCTCCATCACGCTACTGTCATCGCTATAAGAAAGTTGTTTACATAAGAGTTTCCTCTAAACGCATAAATTCCTCCGTGTATTCTATACCCTTCCTAACCTAGTTGACGCCATAAAATTGACTATCCACTAACCCTCGATGAGCACTGAGAGTATGGAAGTCAGGTTCCACACTTACCACAACTGGCCTGAGTAAGGCCAGGACCTTCATCACAGCCTCGGCCTGTTCCATCATACCTTTGTCTCCTTTCCTAAACAACAACAGCATTCCTATTCCTATCCAATGGAGTCTCCCTCACTTTCGCTCCATATCCGTCAGGTCGGCCAACGGCTGCAGATCGGACTTCGATAACTCATCCACGTCCTTAGTCAAATCGGATACCCTAAAAATGCATCTTCCCAGGTTTAGAAACCCGACGATGCGCCCACATTTTTGTTGCCGCCTTCACCTCCACGGTCAGCTTTTTCCGTATATTATCCGCGGACCTCGTGTGCCGAAACGCTACTTGTCCACATGTTATAGTCCAAAACCTTCCGTTGCAAAAGCGATTCCTGAATTGAAAAATGTAGGGAGCAGGGATCGAACCCGAGACCTACATCCAATCACCCCAATACCCAACGGTGTGCTTAAGGTTAGGCGTCAATAGAGCTCTCGTTGCCTTTATATGATTCTTAATATCCTCCGTATCGTCATCTTCTCCCCCCAGGAAAGAGGAACCCCTCGGAGAAGTAGACTGCCATTCAATCGTCATCGACGACACGCTTCGTAGCAATAGTATAAAATATGGTATTGTGACATACATACAGTTACGGGGTAATGGCTGAAGAATGAACATCTCCGCTCCACTTCCCACGCACAATGTGAGGGAGAATGTCCCCATAGATTCAACTCGACACACGAGCAACGACTCCAACGAGGCCTCTACCACGCATGTGTCAGTCCACTACCCTTGTGCGATCTTCTTCAACTAAGGTTAACAAATGCAACCTCACGTAGGCAATACAAACTGCTTACCTTCTTCTCAGTGACATCATCATCATCCGGCGTAGTAGCAGCAAACGCGGCAGGGTTTTCCTCTTGAAGACGCGTTAGACTGACAACGAATGATCCATGAAATGCACTCGACTGAGTGCATGGCATGCATCTAGTTTTGATAAAACTAATACAGGAGAGCAGCCAAGATGACGTATTCATGTCATATCGTGAAGTTCACAAAGGATAGCTAAGCGTAGCTCAACAAACTACCCCTTACTTTCCCTTTTTCGGTAGCCACTCCTCCACGCCCCTGGACTCCACCGGCACCGCCGCAGTGATACTGTACGTCGGGATTGTCGTGTCCAGGCTGAGTCGGTTCTCCAAGCATTTATTCGCTCACAGCGACGATCTCACTTCTGGCTCCATGATATCTCCGGCTTTTCAAACATACTAGGAGGCTGAGGTCGGTCCTTACTCACTGCTCGGGAAGGACCGATAAGCGCGCCGTAGTCCACAGGCTTGCCGAGATCTACCTTCACTCCATCTATCTGAGGACAACATACTCCTCTTCGGCAGTTTCTGAGATATCTACTCTGGCTGCCACGTGCTTCTTGGAAGAGGTAATGCCAGTCGACGTCGGTAGTGGCACCGGGTCTCTCACAGCTCTCTCAGGATCTGCCGATTGGAGGCCATAAACTGTGCTTAGTAGCAGCAGAAGAAGAATGATAATCATAACATCAAGTTTTGGCTGCAGCATAGATTCCTTCTTTCCCATGCCGGTAAACTCAACAAGTCACATACAGTATCCGGTCCTCATCCATGTGGATTCACAAGCTGCGCGACACTGACATAAGGCACACAGTGATGCACCTCAGAACAACTACTAGCTCACTTGGGCATCATGTTATTGACCTTCTCATCCAACTGAGGGCCCTCCACCTTTGGGTGTGGCGTTGCCTTCAGTCCCACCGGATACCTGACAGCACTCCTCCAGCCAATGCTCACACATGGCCCTACTTCTCCCCATCCCATTTCAATTGAGGATCCGCATTGATACTCTCCTTATCATCAATATTCAGGCCCGGTACCAGAGGCAGCGGAGGGCCACTCTTGGCTGGGACTTCCAGTTGCTTCCATTTATCCTCATCGATAACCGGCAAAATTGCCGAAGTGTTCAGGTCCCACTAAGGACAACACCATAAGAGCGGCCCTCACTAGGCGCTACCCAGACTCACCTCTTTGTATGGTGCCCACGTAGGCCGCTGCCTTTCCGATGTGGATCTAAAAGGGAGATAATTCGCATGACATTGACAGGCTCATAATATCCACCTCTGTTTTCCATTGGAAGAAATGTGCACAGTTAGTGCTGAAAGCAGCGATGACAGAAGTGTGAACAGGAGTAGGGGGTTTATCAGTATTGAATATGGTTGTTAGAAATAGCTTCCACGAGACACAGGATTAGACGGAGCGAAATGCACACTAATTCGGTAGAGTTATGGTATCATCCCTAATTGTATTCTCGTTATCGCACAGCACCCCTCCAACCAGGTGAGTGATAGCCAATATAGGGTTATGGCTGCAGGCTCAGCCACTTCCCGAGCCTCGATATGAACCGGTAAGACAAGTAGTATCGCCATCATATTCATCACAGTCCTCCCGATATTAACAACACAACCCTATCTCCTTCGAAAAGAGAACAAAGTCTCGGATGCTGATGGACAACAGCAGCATCAGACGATGGGCGTCGTCGTTGTGATCATGTCGAACCATCCAGTAATGGTATAAGGAGAGGACTTCGGCTCTTTGCATCTGATAAGTAAATCCTCACTGGTTACAGTGAGCGTGCAACCATAGGCGATTGTCATTCAGACTCTCTCACTACTAGAGTGCATATAGATGCATATTGATAATGTATCAGCATTAATCGACTACAGTGGAATTACACCCGTGATATGAAAAACACTTGTGACTAACATATTTCACATTTCACTCCACAAAGAGCGCCTATGAGAAGTGAATAACGCGTAAAACCCGTGATATGGGTACAGTAGTAGTAGTAGTAGCAGTAGTAGTAGTAGAGGTAGTAGTAGTATTAGTAGTAGAGGTAGTAGTAGTAGTAGTAGTAGTAGTAGTAGTAGTAGTAGAGGTAGTAGTAGAGGTAGTAGTAGAGGTAGTAGTAGAGGTAGTAGTAGAGGTAGTAGTAGAGGTAGTAGTAGAGGTAGTAGTAGAGGTTGTAGTAGAGGTAGTAGTAGAGGTAGTAGTAGTAGTAGTAGTAGTAGAGGTAGTAGTAGTAGTAGTAGTAGTAGTAGTAGTAGTAGTAGTAGTAGTAGAGTGTACTATGAAAGTTGACTACTTACCGTAGCTTCACACAGCAGTTGCCTTCATGATCGAATACAACCAGTACTCGACCCCAGTCAGACTCGCATACAACGTGTTTGCCACAACGTCCTCCGAAGGTGTACGAGTCACTACTACACATATAGGGAATTCCCACCAACAAGCTGAACTCACAAAGGCATGCAGCTTGACAAGGCGTTCACTAATCGATCCTCAAAGTCCCTATCAGTTCGCCATAGGCTCAATCTAGTGAAGCCATCATCAACAACCAGAACAGCAAAGCACCTGAAAACTCATACCACTCCTTTTCCACTTCACGAGGGAGACTACCGAGCCTTACCATTTCCACCTATCCCAGTACCCTCCCTTATTCCTCTGTATCCAGCCCTTTATCGCCTGCTGAGATGACATGATGAGGCCGCGCTCTGATGAAAAGTAGGCAGCTGCTGATGAAGACAGAGAATACTCCGACGTTACTGACAAGAACAAACAAGAGAGTAGTGACTAGCTACACTTCCTTCCAAAAACGAGTACGTCCCCTATGAATTTTCTACTAAGGAAAAAACGTAAACACGGGCCTTTTCTGCAGACTACGGATTCTCGTTGTGATGCTCGTCACCATTGTCGAGGAATATGCACATTGTCCGCTAAATGTGTTGATGTCAATATGAAAATTTGCGGAAATTCTTATGGGCTTCTGTACACATCTACTATAGTTCGTACATGAACCTCTATACCTAATAGAAAACGGCATGGGAAAGTAGACACATTGTCAACTATATGTGCACGTGACATTTGTGGAAATTTTGGGAGGAAAATTGAGGAAATTCTACCCGAATTTGTATGTAAACTTCTATAACTAATGACGAAACTCCTGAGCTCAGCTGAGAAAAGCGAACATATATTCCTCCAACACTGACGAGGAAACTCCTGAGCTCAGCTGAGGAAAGCGAACATATATTCCTCCAACACTGACGAGGAAACTCCTGAGCTCAGCTGAGGAAAGCGAACATATATTCCTCCAACACTGATGAGGAAACTCCGGAGGTACATTAAAAAGCGGACATATATTCCTCCATCCCGTAACCGCTTCGGATTCACAATAACATCCCCCTATGGCGCCTCTACTGAAACAAGTTGCCCAAGCTACTTACTCAACGATGTTGCCTCCGATCCCCTGTACAATACCGATCGACTGACAGGAGTGATGGTACTCGACATATGTCCATGACTGTGTGATGGAGTAGCAGGATGAGGCAGAATCTACCATAGTAGAGAATACCACCCTAAGAATTTACTAGTGAACAATTCAGGAGGCTGCCACGTCCAAGTCAACCTTACTAGGAATACTCGAAAACAAATTGAAAAATCCATTCTAAGCTCGTTTTGAGTTCAACCATCACTGCCGCGGAAACAGAGAGTAAGGCTACAGTCCTGTCTGAGAACCACCCATCCCCATTTTAATATAATTTGCAAACCCTTAAACTACCACGTCCCACGGCGCGTAATCATGCACGATGAGCGTACGAACAAGGCGCCCACCTTCGTAGGAGTATTCTCAGGATCGTCAGTACTCTCCCGTTGATCCGCACCAACAACCTCAGGTGATACTGCTAAGCTCTCATCTACAGTCGATGTAGACTGTTGTATTGGGATTGGCGATACGATGGACGGCTAAATAGACTGTGGTGACCAACACGTAGGAGTAGTAGCAATATTACTCCCACCTCATTGAGATCTCCAAACCCGTGGGAAGGGCTAGTCGCACTATGCCAGCTGAACGGGAAGCTCCATATAGCATTCAATGAGTTTCTTCTCGGTCACTTACTCCTCACTAGAAAGATTCACGACTTCAGACTCGCTATGCAAAGGTGATATACGTGAAGTTGTCGGGACCGGGGATCGAACCTGCGACCTCCTCTACCCGGATCAAGGATTGTCACATGCACTTACTTCCGAGTCACATACGATAACACTTGGTTCGAGTACTGGGGTACTGCTGGCAGTCAAAAACTAATAGGAATAATTCAGGACTGCCACCACTTGAACGCTCTCGACCTCCTCCGTGTGTTTATAGTCCTGCCTTGTCGCCTTCAATAAGCCAAAGCCATTACGCTGTTTTGGTCGCCTTCCCAGACAGTATTTGCATCGCTCCGCTGTAGTGAGGTAATTTCCCATTGAAAAGTGTATCGATCCTCAACAACACTGAGCGGTGAATCGCTACTACTACTACTACTACCACTACTACTACTACTACGGTATTGCCGCTAATGTGCTAGCCTGCTACTACTACTAGCTGAGTTGAATGCTCTCAAACCCCCTCGGATTGATAACTCAGCACATACAACAAGAAAAATTACTATTTACTACAGTAACACACGTGACGATAAACGGTTAAAAGCTGCTACCCCATGCGCCCCCAATGAAGCCGCGAATCTTCCGAGTGCGCAGATATCTCAGACGCGATATCTTCCTTCGGGTAGTTCACTAGGCTTCGCTAGAAGGGGACACGATCGATCACTGTGTGAATTGCATCATGACTACTTGCAAATTATCATCTTGTCAAATTATAGTTGAATACTACTACTAGGTTCTCCAACCTAACCTATTCTGAATCTTTCATGCTTCAACCTTGGATTCTCTCCTTCCACCTAGCCCACTTACACGTAATCCTCAACGACACCGGCCCCAGTGACATCTTCCAAGTGGCCGTCCGAGTACCGTCATCATCATCACGACCTATCGTCGCTCTACCACCCGTGTGCGACTGTCGACGGCGAGCCATGTCCAACAACAATTGAGGGCTTCGTATCGACACCGCACCTCGCCACTGTATTAGCCGACATAAATGGGAAACTCTCTCAGTTTCTATAACCTGCAACGACTTCAACATAATCACTCCAGCATTGTTCCTCGAATAGTACATCCTGCATATTGGATACCTCCTGTCGCAGCCTTTCGCACTCATTAGTCAGTTCGCCGTTCATTTCTCTTTCCACCGTCAAGTCGCGCCTGAGTGATTCAGCCAATTCACCGCCGGTCCGCTGGCAGCGACTAACCTCAGTTCATCATTCTCCTCCATAACAGCTCCCAGTTGATGCCTCAAAACTCGTACATCCCTTCGATACACCAACAGTAGTTCCCGTAATTCTGAAATCAACACTAGGCCATTGACAACTCTCTACCAAGTGCCACCTGTAAGGCTATGCGGGAGCTGTAAGCCTGACTCTCCAGCTGAGGGTGTGAAGAGTCCATTATCGCGATAAGGGGTATCCACTGAGAAAAGGCGGCCGTGGATTCACGATTTTGAGAAGGTCACTACTGGAGGCTATCGCATGCGCATTAGGAGGCGGTAGGCGCCGATCGGGCGTGCGAGGTTGAGAGGCAGTACTAGTGATCGAGAGTGCTTCCACTTGACCTGTTGGGGGGAAGACCTGAAGTCATCGTCCGTGCAATTGTTACTACCTTGTCCCGGTATCCCAGAGTAAACATCGACAGGGCTGAGTCGCTTCACACTGGAAGGGACATCCATGAACAAAATTACCACTGAGAGTTGATCGATATTGCACCAGATGCTAATAACCGGACCTATGCTGTATCTTTTACTGTTCATATCTATGGTTATAACGTCGCATTATACGCTACCTCCTGTGCTTAAAAGTCAACATACTCTCGATCCGAATCTGCATCATCACCAACAGTGCAATGGCAAACCATTTGGATTGAATTCGTTTGTAACTTTGACATAAAGTTGTAACGAGCTCGAAAGAATATTTCTTCTAGCGATCGTTAGTAGTGGCGTTGAGGCGAGCGAAATGCAAATTGACGTTGGCGGAGCGGAGTGAATGACCATCTCGTGGCGATACAGCGCGCGCCCATCTGATCGATATCTGCGCACATCGACTCGGGCATTAAACCAATCGACCGATACTATAGGTCGATCTTCTTAAGACTAATCTATAGGCGTGCTCGATCAGACAATGTGCAACCATGGGCATGAAGATAGGGTGTAGTTACGACAACCCCTCCCTGGGATCCTCTTCTCGCTGATCTTACCTGTGCCCCGCGAGTTAATCACCCTCATGGGTGGAATACCACCATCAGAATCTTGCCGAGTTGAAATGATATGCATCCGATCTTCCAAATCCTTCGAGTGTATCCTCAGCGAGATGCAGGCCGAAGTCCTCAGCCAATATCGTGCAAATATTCCGAAAATATAGTGTTCGGATGGCTTCCAGGTTTTCCCTCTGAATTGCATGTCCATCACATATGATGTTGTGAGCCGAGCACAGTTTATATACGAAATGAAAATCTCATATTGTCATCACCAATACATGTAGTTGACCATGTACATGTTCTCCTCACCTGACCTCAGGAGTTTACATACGAAGTTTACAGAAACCAATAAAAATTTTCCCCAAAATTGCCTCCCTAACTTTCGAACTGTCTACCACATCTAGATTCTCGCCCTCACCAGGTGACTCAAAATATCAACTCAGCATCTAGAGAATAAAAAGATCGATGCAAACCAGCTCACTTCGCACAGTCCGCGACAGCAAGGAAGAATACAACAATGTTTGAGTCGGCATCTACTGCCGTTTCAGTGGCCGCTCGAAAGTGACACCAACTGGGCAATGGTTACCATGAGGAGCAAAGTCCTCGAGAATGAACGCATCCTCAATTCTATCTATGGGGAAGCCTGGTGCTGAGATAACATAGTCCAATCTCAGACCCCTGTTCCTCGGCTTGTCACGAGCTCGAACAGACCAATAAGAGAAACAACCTGTAGCATGTGGGTGCATGTGGGCAAAGGTATCGGTGAAGCCCTTCGAGGTGTAGTGCTCTCTGAAGGACTCCCGCTCCTCGTTGGTCGTACCTGTGAACCAGATGGGCATCCCGTCAAGATGATGTTATATTCTCAATGTGAGAAGGAGGAGCCACAACGATAGCCTCGATGGGAAAGTCAAATTGCGGAGCGAGCGAAGCGAGCGGAGCTTATATTACTGCGCACGAACACTCGTGTGCGTGCGTCCGTCCGTCCGTCCGTCCGTCCGACCGACCGTGCGTGAGCAAAAATTCTGACCCGACCAGGGCGATTCATAAGACAAACAGGGTATCATTCTGTCCCCCGTTGACTCCTCATCAGCGTAAAAATATAGCGAAAGTGTGGCTGTTGCTTTGCCCGCTTATTTTTCACGAAACGGTTCTGCGCACAAGTGATGAACTGTTAGCTCAGCACGTTAGTATTCACGACTCCCAACCGAATGACCTAGGGTCAAATCCCACGATGGTCATTTCTCTCACATGTCTCCATAAGGAGACAGTGGTCGGCCACGTCGACGACGCCAGCCAACACCCGACAACCTTTTGTTTTTTAGTCACCCAATTTCCAAAATAATCTCAATAAGAGCCCGCAGAATTCTTGATAGGAAGCTCAGGGAGCTCCGCCCCTTCGCACCGAAGACCTAGTTTTAATGAAGTTCAACCATTACTGCGGCGAAAGCAGACAGTCCTGTTTCAACATGAGAGCTCGATCATCATCGTATCATAATTTGAGCCGAATTGACACACAGATATTATTAACTACTAATAACAACTATTCATTTACCATTAAAACAGTCGTACGAGTGATCTCAGGATGACTCCTCCACATAGCAGTACCAGATTTCTTAGGAATGTAAGGCTTGTCGACATTCCAAATGTCCACATCACGATCAGCCACGTTCATATCCCCCAACAGCAAGGTTGGCTTATCGAAACTCTTGCAGTACTCAGCCAGTTCAGCATCGAAGCATCTCCTCCCAGAGGTTCGATATGCAAGCCTATACAAGCCATGTCCTGAATTCGGGACGTAGCATAAAACCACTACCATATCGTCGAACTCCAACGTTATTGTTCGCCCTTCAGGATCCGCGTGATCACTGATACCCAGTTTGCTGTCGAACTTCCCGACGCTCTTCCGAACAATCATCGCAGTACCAGAATAGCCCTTCTTGGCTGTACAACGATTCCATACAGTCTCCACAGGGCCCAGAATATTCTCAACTGCTGCTCTGAGGAGCTGGTCGCACTGCTCACACATTTCCTCATCGGACAGTCGTATGTTCATAAATCCAATAACGTTAGGCTGTTCCTCCTTACACAAGTCGATAAGCTCTTGTACATTATGGTTGAGAAGAGCCCGAAGCGAGTCCACGTTCCACGCTATCGCTGTGAAGTCATCCTTACCCTTCTTATGACGTTCGAGCTTCGTTATGGGGATCTTCTCGCCTCTCTCATTGGCTTCCGCATAGGCCACATTAACTATTTTCACAGCCTTATGAGTGACCTTTCTCGGAGCCTTAGTTCTCTTATTTGACTTAGCCGTCATGGGCTCCACGTTCTGATCGTTGTTAGTCTCCCTGTCCTGCGATGATGCAACATACTCGTCTGAACGGCTACGCTTCTTGTAAGGCATACGAAGAGAGTTATATAGTACCTATGGAGCACAGCATTGATGCTATAGATGAGCTATGGACGCGAAAGCAACAAAGTGAGGGTAGAACCTCATTGCAGTCACCACCAACCGAGACGTCATAACGTACGGGTAATACTCAAGCCAACATGTTCAAGTCCGACATGCTTCAAAGTCGACCTAGAGACGTACACTCCGGCCGATACCTCAACGTACTTGGCGAAAGATACTCTAGCCGGGGATCGAACTCGCGTCTTGAGCGATCAAATATCCAACTCGTGGGCATACAAAATACAGCTCCAGGCCATAAAAAGCCTGGGCGCTTATAGGCTGTTTCTCTCGGGCAATTATAAAGTCGTACAATGCGACACAAGACTTCCATGCAATTCATGCAAACTTATGCATTGCGACCTATTATCAGAATCGGTGGCCGTCCGGATTCTAACTGTATGAGTTGGGAAGCGCCCTCTAGTGATGGATCTTGCTCTGTCCGGACATGCCGAGGGCACTTGTGCGTCGTAGTACACATGATGGAGGTGTGCTCTCCAGTCCAGAACTCGAACAATGTGGAATATGGACTTTGCCATCAGAGCGTTCCGCTTGCAAACTCAATATGTCGCCGACAAAAACTGTTCTCGCGGCTCCCATAGACAGCATAGGGGATACTGGGAGCGACGATACCAGATCGATCTCCCAGGACTCTCGGTAATCCTGACGTTACTGTCGAGCTGCAGTGCTCATCCGTCAGAGAGTGATAATGTTCATCCGCGCATCTTTTGCCCCGTCCGTATCTTTTCAGCGATAAAACTACGGGGAAACGCTCTACAGATTGCAGTGACGGTTGCCGGGAATATATATCCTGGCTCGAATCGCAAGTGAGAAGCTCGCGCTCTCATTTAGTATCAATACTCATACTTTCACCGCTTTAACACTACGACTAAAATAGTAAATTTGTCGTCGCAAATTCGCGCCGCCGTGTCGAGCCTCGCAGATTGATGCCTGAGCCAGCCCGAGGTGGACCTTCTGCCTGTGCGAAAGCGATTGTTCCTGAATTCCCGACATGCTGAGATTCAGAATCAGACGGTACAGGTAGACATCCTATCGAGGTCCGCATCCGAGCTCGAGCGAGCGCTTCTACTGGAACGCGATCAACAACACCGTTGCGAACAAAGCGGTGAGCATCGTCAGAAACTCCTGTTTTCCCTGGGCGTGTTATGCTGAAAAAGATTGTCGACCTATACCAAGACTATATAACCTAGCTTCAGAGTGTTCGAACATCATGGTGATCCTCAGGCAGATCAGCTTTATACAGTCCCAGCGGTGGGAATGTGAATATGAACGGAACCGAGAAAGAGATAATTCGCTTGAAAGAGGAGGTCGTTATTTCAAGCACATCATCAGTGCTTAGAACAAATTGTGTGCTTTAGTTGACTATTGAAAAGGAACTCTATCTGGCGGAACGTGTTGCAAGGTGACCGCTACCCATAGGGCTCTGCAATCGGTTGATCCTCGGGGAGTAGGGAAGCATCGGAGAGGCATCGGTTGATACTCTGTCACCGATTGAAGCATCGAGTTCCGCATATCCCAGACATGGCCTGGTTCAAAGAGAATGTCGATATCTTAGAATGCTCGTTACGGGACAACTCTAAGGTAACATCCTCAGTCCAGGAGGGTTGATTATCGTAGCAGTATTACTCATGTCATCAGACGGCTCAATCCTGCGGCATCGAAACCGCTGACGCATGCGTTGGACCAGAGAGAGTTGAAAAATCTGTCGCTACGCCTGATGTGAGTAAGGCAGACCTTCTAAGCTTGTCCATTCGAAGTCCTCATCGAGATATTTCCATCTTGACGAGGCGGTTAGATTTGTCCGCTCTCCAATGCATGTTCATAGGTCATGCAGTCAACTGCTAACGGCCCATTGATGGGCAGAGCAGCACGCTCAAGGATGCGGCCGAAAGCTGTGACCCTCATGTCACTGAAAACTAGGGTATGCTCTATTCCTTAAGGAAAGAACCACCATCACCGAGACTGTGCTCGGACCCCATCCGCGTCGTGATTCGAAGTCGATCTCCGAGACGAGCAGTGACCCGAATGGTAGGCCTCGATAGAAATGGACAATGCCATGGAGTAATCGCGAGCAACATCGGTGGGGCGCTTTCTAGGGGAACCTCGTACCCATACATCAAAAGAACCGTCAGTATCGTCCTGCCACGACAACGTGAAAGTCTGTAAGTGTCGCTTGCTGGTGCGGCGTACTGTGAGAGCTTGAATGCTATTGCTGAGCTCGATACAGCCTCCTTTCGCGACGCACCACGTAGTCAAACCGTCTTCACGGATGTTGAGAGGAGCTGGCGGAGTTTATTACGGGAGTTTGGGAAATCGAGAGAGGCATCCCTTTTAAAGTGATACGTGATGGATCATGTAACATGACGTATTCTATATCGTGGTCTATTACAAGAAGCTCTGATGGAGGCACTCCAATTAAATGCATAATAGCATAATGATACTATCATTATGATGGGTTACACTATAACCGTTCCAGTTTATGGTTATTAGACTAATAGAGGCCCGAGAGACGAGATGGTCGAGAAGAACACCTTTCTAATCATAGGTTCTGGCCACGGGTGACAAAGATCAGCTCCCAGTGTTTTGAGCTGTCCCTATATCCGTCACCACAAGCTCGGAAACGCTATGTGGAACTGCCGAAAAACATGACGGTAGGCAAGTAGAGGAATTCGTGCCACGCATTCTGTTGTAAATCGTGCCAGACATCCGGGCAGGCCTGCTCGACTCATTTTCTTGTTGTATAGTTCCGACGGACTCGTCTCGATTGTGAAGTCAATCCAGAGTCAGGGAAGCTGTTAGTCGAAGAGCACAGAGGTGACCACCATCGTGGAGGATGATCGCCCGGTTTCGAATCAGTTCCCTCGCAACCTCTTCCTCGAGAGCTGCTCGATGCATCAGACTTTCTGTGGGAGTACGTGCGCTCCAACCAGAACATGCTGCCTTTGTGTGGCAGAACTTAGTGAGAGTATCTTACTAATTGGAAGCTTTGCATTAGTCCCCTTATAATGAAAGGGCATTCTGAGCCTGGCGACCTCCGCACAGAGTTTGCTTGTTTCCTGGGGCGTCAATCATCTTCTATGAGCTTGAGTGGAAAATTACAAATCGCGATCCAGTTGAAGTGCTCCGACTTATGATTTTGCATTATTTTGGCAGTTAAGCAACGTTCGTGAATTCCAGATATTCAACATGATTGGTAATGTCCCGGCCAGTATTGCCGGAGTAGGTTAGCCAAATTGGACAATGAGTGCAGCAAATGCGATCCATAGATGCCCATAAACATCCTTAACGGTTTCGGATCACCTTAAAGAATAATGCAAGTATGATTCAACGTCGCTGATTACGGTCTGATCTTGTGCAAGCGTCGGTGCTGTATAACACTTTGCCACACATGGTAGACAATATTTATGGCGGAGCAAATGAACAATTTTTGCGTTTGTGTACGTTTGACCCTTCCTATCACTGTCACTGTCAAAGAGGTCGCGAGTTATTTCCATTGCAATTTCCGTAATGCAGTGGGGAGCAAAATTGAGGTTGGGATGAAACTCTTCGTTCTGATGAAACCATTCCAGCATGGACTGTGCCATCAACAAGGAACCCGCCGCCGAGCTGGATGACCGTGCTGAGGATTCTTGGCATTCTGATAACGGCGATGATTCGCTATATAACAACTACTTATCCAATACTCGGAAGAGCTTCCCTTTAGTTTGAGCTACTGGATCACGGAACAAACGTTCTCCTATACAGCGGGCATGTTCGGAACCCTTTAAACTCATGTTGTACAAAGAGGAGTATTCCCAAGTGATCCTCGATATCTCTTTCCATGCCTCCGTAAAATGTTGTTAGTTCCCTATGTCTTCGTATACTGTATACTTCGCAGGATTGGTTTCCGTATAGTTCCGCGACCCGCCACCATCACGGCTTACACGATGCGTTTGTTAGTGAGTGTCTTAACGATCTAACTGCTCGCTAGATGCTGACTGTAGCCCAGGTAAACCTCAAGGCTCCGTCGAATAGTTTTTACCATACAGTATATCAGTTAGGGGGGATGTCTTGGGGGTCGGAGCCTTGAATTCCAACTCAGGATGCGCTGATGGAACCGTGTTCTCTTCTACCTTCATGTAGAACTTTCAACGCAACCGAATTCGCAGATTGACTAGAAACCCTGTTTGTGATGCTGTTTGCTTCGCCTTAACAGGCGATGCAACATCAACAATCCAGCGCGTGTACAGAAATAGTGGTTTCGAAAAACACCTGGTGGACCCCGACGGGATACTGCAAGTCACGTGGACGTACTTGGGCATCACATTGATGTGCATAGAGACCACCAGAGGTGCGGTTTCTGATTGGTTCGACAGAGCCGGCGGTCAAGTCTAGTAAAATAGAAGGGTAAAGATACAATGTCAGACAGGGAGAAACTTGGAACACACTACTAATATCAGAATGAACTTCGACGACCGGCATTATACTGACGACTCGTGATGAGACTCGATGCAATGACTAGTAATAAACTGTATTGGTAGAAAGTGTGGTATATCAAGAGACATATGTAGTTTAGTCTATCTAGGACGGATATAGATAGGGGAGGAGGAAAAAGGAGGAAGTCCTGATTGTTCAAAGGGTCAACGCTGGGAGCAAGGGGTACGGAAAATGATATTTTTGTTGAAGCCCAAATTTCAAAAATTGAAAAAGAGAACAGCTGAAGTCAAAATCGATCGTGATTCCTTTCACGTGCCAAAACTTAGCAAATCGTAATCTTTCCTGACCGACTTCAGAATAACCTGAAAAACTCACTCCTCACTATCGGCCTCTCGACGAAGGAAATACCTGCAGCTTGACAGCTTCGTTGAATATCGATCCCTGGTGGCAGTTTCCTCAGGACCACCACCAACTCCTGGTGGAATCGCCCCATTATAAGCCAATCCTAGTGATGAAGCCCTCCGTGACCGACAACCTGCTACTCCTCCTTGCATTAGTGACCTCACTTGCTGCTTCCGAAATCGACGATTATAACTAATCATCCCCATGGTCGCCGTTGACCTCTGTCGAACTTCTGAAAACAAGCAAGGACTCCGTCACAGCCCCATCCGTATGCTGAGCCTCCGACCTCTATTAGGACTTCCTCTCCGTCCAAGAGTAGCTCTCTTGCCCGTAGTGACTCCACTGCACCTTTGGCTAGTGTTGTCAAATCTGGTGCTTGCAGGCCAGTGAGGAGCGCCGCCCATACTCGTCACTACTGCGGACCCGAGCCCGTCGAAGGTAGTGCTGCGAGCATGGCGCCTTCTACCTCTACTACGACGCGGTGGGCACTTCTCCGCCACCCAACGCTGCCTCAACTCTTCAACTTGCGGCTGGAAAGTCATTGTCAGAGTCGCGAACTCAATCCTCAGATTCCACGTATTACTTGATATTTCTCGGCATTCGCATTCACCAGCTTTCGATCGCCATAATGAAGCCGCACGTGTAGCCCCGATGTCTCCGATATTCCAATTGCCATGAACCTATTGGCAGGAGGTTCTCCGGCAGGAGTGCCTTTCCATGATATCACCTCAGCCTATCGAATGTCGCAACAAGCTCATCGTCAAGTGGGGAGTCTTCCCCCGGTATGCTCACTGGACTCAGGCCATACGGAGGGACCTCCGTGTCCGTTAGAACCTGGTTGCAGAGGAAACCCGGAAGCGGGCGTATCTGATCATATCACAAACTCATCGTAATGGAGAACCATACCTCCTATTACAGGAACCGGAAGGAATAGTTTCGTCCGCGAATAGTTTTCGGGACGTGGAATCGGCGGATCGGAATTAGCCCATTCGAGTGATGACTGGAGGGCTGCTGCCTCACTAAGATCGTCGGAACTATCAGTGTCACTGCACCATGAGTCTCCCGCGGTTGTATCTTCGGATAATCCTCGAGCGCCTTCCATATACCCACCACTGGGCTTGCACGGAGCACTCTTATGAACCTCCCGGGCCGCTCGCGGAAGGACCATATGGTTAACAGGCAGCTGCCGATCTTCATCACTACTCCTACCCGAAGTATTAGCAGCAGTAGTGCCACCACCTGGACTTCCATCGTCACCCATATCGTAGAGCTGACATGGCGTAGGGAGTGGTATAACAAGGCCACTGCTATGGCCGCTACGATGCCCACTTCCTCCATACGGACCTGACGTCGGCCGCTCTTCTACTGCTGGCATTTTCTAAGGTATAATTATTACCATACAAATAGTTGTGCGAATGAACAGCTGTTGGGTCGGCTCTGCACGGGCTTCTCACCTCCTCGCCACCTTCCCGGGGTCTCGGTGGAGTCATAGCCAAGACGTTACTCATAGGATAAGACTATTGGAGAGAATCACTTCCCCGTATAGCCCCTCCCAATCCGACCCGTACAACTACTACTGCAGTCCTCTGAGAGCGAATTGGGCCTGACTAGAATTGAAGATCCCTGGGAACTCCATCGGGCCACCTCCCAACAAGCCTAGAAGCCCTGTGTGCGCCAACAAAAATCAATGAGCTGGGAAACACTTTCCAATCTACCATCATGTCACTTGACCGCGACGGACTCCCATCGCAGATCCGTTTCGACCATCTACCCTCTGGTACCGGTTTTCAGTCCCGCCGTTCCGATTGTGCGCCCTAGCGATGGCTTGCCATAGGCAATCCTAACTAGCAAGTCCACAGCCGCAATATCCTCAGCCTCTCGCCTTGCAGTGCTCCACCCCTTTCGGTTTCCAATCACTCCGACTATCTGAAAGCATACTCAAATACTGAGCATGTCGAACAATGCCCGACCTTCCACAGTGATGGAATACGGTTACCCAATTGAACAACCTTACAACCCGGAGGATCGCTAGAGTGCCACTAAAGATGGCATCCTAGAGCGATTGAAGATGATATCAATGACTGCCTTCGCCATCTCCTGGTCACAAGCCACCATAGCTTCAATAGACAGGTAGGACTGAGATTGAAGTAGAGAGAAAAGCACATCCAGCTCAAAGTGATTCGAGTATGACGAGTTCAGCTGAAGTCGTGGACCTCCCACAAAGGAGACAGATCACACAATTACCTGGTTGGCAGTAGAGGAAGCACATAAACGGTTTCCTGACGAGTTCGCATACTGTAAAAGCTAACGCTCGTAGCAAAATGGATAGTACCTGTAGTCATGTCCAATAGTTGTGCACACCTGAGCGAAGAGCACCACCCTCCACATCGACAGGTTGCTCCCTGTGCAGGCAGCTCCACTGCCAAGTTTGCATCATGCGAATTGAATGCCATAACGGGAATCTACACAGGAATGAAACTTCTGATACCGGGTATTGCAGACCCTCTCTCTCCCAGGGAAAGTTTTCTTATCTTCGATCCTGATCAACAATGATGTTACCAACTCATATACAGGATGAGAGTAGTCAACTGGAACGCCATCCTTACACAGAGCCAGAGCTCTGTCCGGACATTCCTACTCCACTAAATGGATGGATCGATGAGTCATCGACGACGACATCAATCTATAGGAATAGATCTAACACAACACCCCTCAAGAGAGGCCTACGAGCAGAGACCTTCTCATCATTCCCCCTTTTATATGGCTGTCCCTTCGCTGTTCGGCTTACGATGAGAGCCTCATATGTTGGTAAAATAGGAATCCGCGGGTCATCCCACAAGATATCAATGCAACGATGTGCGTCAACCTCAGAGATCCTGGACCAGCGACGCTAGTGACACACTAGTGTCATTGATGTGACATCAGCCTCTCCGAACCCAGGGACTTGATTATGTCCTCCAAGGTACGTCGTATATTGTCCGCCGTATGCCGAGCCTCTACCCTCTCGAACGCTATCGTATGACTAGTCGATTGAGTGATCCCGCATAAGTAGCCATATGGTGCACCACTCTTACGAGCACACTTTCCATGTTCTCTCGCGTCCACAGATCTAGTGTGAAGCTCAAAAACTGCTCTGCTCCTAGGGATTTCTGCAGTGACGTTAACCAAGGAGCCTTGTCCTTCATTCGATGAGCCTTGTTCTTCCCGAATGATATATTCGGAAGAAAAGTCAGTCAAAGACCCAGGTTAGCAGATGATTGGAGACGGAGCGAGCCATCCAAGCCGCGCCCGGATAGCCCTTTCGATACACATAGCGACAGAGATGCCATACCCACCATAGTTCAGAATGACCAATACAAATATCATCGTCAGTGACTGATCATCTAGATCCACATTCCAGTGATGCCACAGGTATTTGAAATAATCCTTGATGGCTCCGGTAACTTGTCTGGATCTTACAAGAGCTCTCATTCTTCCAGTGTCAATCGTATAATGATCGGTCTCATACTCATTGGAGGCTGCTAACTGAGCAGTGCTAAGTTGCTGCCATCCCACAGAGCCTCTTTAAGAGGTCCTTGACAAGGACTCCTTGGGGGTTCAGTTAACAGAGCCTCGTACAACGGCATTTCGGTTTGAGCCAAGCCTGCGATCTGGAGCGCCAGCAGAGTGTTATAAATCGTAGAGTACTTACAGTACGTAGTCGGTCACAAAAATGAAGCGAGGATTGGAAATCCTTGCGCGGGTCATTGGAAATACCCCTAAATTGCAACATAGATGGATCTAGGGAGAATTAGGTAACGACATAAGAAACACTTGGCAATAGCAAGAAGAGCCGCATACAGTACAGCGTGTGAGGTACTTCCCACGCGCACTGAAAATATCAGTGGGCAAGATATGCGTAGTGAGCACTGAGAAACCCTTCAGATCGAGAGCCCTCACTCATCACCTTGTAAATCATCCTTAGCATTTGCAGGTTCATTCCGAGTACCGCTGACCTCAAGCAGCCCGCCGCCGTCCAAACGTTCAATACCAGCTGATCACCTATGAACTTTGGATGTAGAGCACTTCATAGAAGAAACACAAATACTGCTGGTGAAGTGAGAGAAGGTGTATACAAAAGAACGCGTATAGTCATACCATGCTGTGTAGTACACCCAACTATAGCGCCTTATTCCAACGCCTCCACGAGCATATTCCATAATCCATTATGAGGAACGAAAACTTGACAAAACTAAGAAAAGCGTTATATGCATTCATTGAACTCTAACCCTTTCATTTCTCAGTATAGTCATCCACAACGTCGCAACATTAAGCGTTGATAGAGTGGAAGATGTCCTCCTCATCATATTCATACATATTCCTCGCCACTTCGCCGTCGGAATGATCATCCTTCCGGGAATTCAAGGTACAGTTCATATGGCTAAGCCATACAGAGCTCCACGCTATCATTGGTGGAGTAGTTTACATACTACTCACACTGATACACGACACCTCAAAAGCTAGCTTGAAACTATATATACTTGTGGAATGTTGCATATGAACCAACGTGTGGTCCTCGAGTGGTGACGGCTTGAATAACAGAAGCCGACAGTGACGAGAATCATATTAATCTCTATAGCCTCCTTCTTCGTCATCTTCATCAGCATCATTCCTACGTCGCTTCTTAGAATACCCCATCCTGTATGCGTGTAACTGATACTCACTAAGTAATACACTACCAACATATCAGCACGTACAGCTCGTTCGGTATAATTGTCATTATCCTCGTCCATAAGCTCCTGCTCCTCAGACACTATCTGCAGACGCTCCTGTCGTTGCCTACCAAAGCAGCATATACGGATGGGCAATGTCCACTGAGCATCTCTATAGATCTACACTAACAATATACTTGATACTCTACGGGAAGCTCTATCATACGATACATGATGACGAGAGCGGTGCCGACGAGGTTTTGACACGCCCTTCAAGGAGGGATAGGCAGACGAGGGAGAGGGATACTGACGAGGTTGGTTTTGAGCTGGCCCTACCCTCTCGAGAGGTTGAACTCAGCGCTCGCCCGAATACAGTTGGGTAGTTCCCCGAGCTGCGCCTCGCAGAAACTACCACCCCGAAGCCAGGAGTATCCTCATCTTCCTGTGCCTTATACTATGACTTTGAACATACTATGACTACTAGCTACTACTACTACTAATACTACTACTACTACTGCTATTACTACTACTACTACTATGGCTACTAGCTACTACTACTATGACTACTAGCTACTACTACTATGACTACTAGCTACTACTACTATGGCTACTAGCTACTACTACTATGACTACTAGCTACTACTACTATGACTACTAGCTACTACTACTATGACTACTAGCTACTACTACTATGGCTACTAGCTACTACTACTATGGCTACTAGCTACTACTACTATGACTACTAGCTACTACTACTATGACTACTAGCTACTACTACTATGACTACTAGCTACTACTACTATGGGTACTATGGCTATACTTATAGCTATGAAACGAGCCCCCCGTTAACTGGTCACGTGAAAAACACAACTAGCCCACTGCCACTTACTCTTCTCGCCTTTTCGCCGTCTCGATTACATCACTAGGCAAATATGCGAATTCTACTCCTGGAGCGTGTTTCTGCGGACAACAAACATACGATATTACCGTTATACCTTCGCCACCGAATGCCTACCAGGAGCTCTACGTTCTTCAGACATTCCGTTTTGACCTTGTCCAAAGCGCTGGGAGCGTTTAGATTGTGCAGAGCGGCCACAGGTTGTATTTGCAGTTTATAGTCTGGCGCGTAATAGTGCCAAAAATCGTTCATTGGTAGTTGATTAGATAGATCCTGCAGACAGCGACAAGATTCACCAGGTGATAAACACAGAGCTCGCTACTCACCTGATCCCGATTCAGCGCTACAGCCGTTTCGTAGGCCCAGCAGCGTGATACATTACGTATAGTATACCTGACCAAATGAGTATACTACTGACTAATGGGATAAGGAACAACCGTTGTGGCTCTACACAGCTACTACCCGCCTCCACCCAGCAACAACAGTGGTATCCCAAAACTCTTGACCAGCCTAACACAATTAGCATGACCTTGCAGTGTGAGGTTAAACCGGCCTAGCCTGAATAAAGGCATGAGTGTCCACAACTAATATCGAGGTACTGCTTCATCCTACCGATCATGTGCGAGAGAGTCAGCACCGCACTGTAGGACTATTGCTCCTGGCTGATATATCTCGACTACACCTGAAGATCCACTACTAGAACTCTCGCACATGCGGATGACTCACGAGTAATAATGGTCTTGAATAAGTCCGAAAAAAGGTCATCAGTGATGCCCTCGTCCAAGGGCACATTAAGTGCGTAAAATCTTCCCTCGCCAGTGCCAATATCACTTATATCACCCGTCCCTACGAAATGACAATACCCAACAAAAGACAAGGACACTTATAACAGACCTGGAAAAAAGTCGCCGTACTTGTGGAAGCTCACCGTCATCACTCGCGATGTTTGGTAAAACGCCTCTTCAACACCGTCGCCATGATGCACCTATAAGGCAACGATAATTGTACGTCAAACGGGCGCCTTTTACGTCAATGTCAATATAGAGGACCCGCGGGTGGAACCTCAAGAGCTCCAGTATAGCAAGGACGATATCGTTGACATAACAGAAGCCCGATGCTTCATTTCTCTTTGCATGGTGTAGACCTCCGGCCCTAAAAAGTATCGAAAATCGAATCTACACAGCGGGATGAGCCTGTCACCAATTGATCGCTATATCAGCGTTTCTAGAACATAGCTCATGAGCTGCATCCAAGCTACCCCCAGCGAGCGTCCGCTGAAAATCGTATCTACAAGTGTTCTATCTAAAGTTGTATCAGTTCAGTTACTCTTGCGACTGCAAGTAGTATGCAGCCCCTGATGAACTACACAGCTGAGCACGACCACAATATATAAACGTTATATAGCAAACTACTCAGCCGAGCAATAATAAGAATACACAATTCCAAGAAGGAACGGATGGGGACCACAACAGCGAGAGTAGAAATGTGATGCCTCGTATAAACGTTCTTACAGGCCGTCGAAAACTGGACAATCAGTGATAATATCCCCCACTCTAAATCGTTTGGACTGCGACGTATAATCACGAACATTATCAGCGTTCGCAATCTTGAGGAACCTACACAACACCCCTAATCGAACTTCCACTATCCCACCTCAATTACGATATATACTCCTCTCCATGGAAGTTGGTCAACTCAGCATCGGTGGCGACATGTGGGCGATAAACCGTCATATGCCTAACACATTCATCCTATCACCGACGGCTACCAGCTCCTAGGATCACTTATAGAGGCCGTAGCCGACGACCAAGTCATGAGCCATGCGTATCCGCTGTGGTTTCATAGGATGGCCCTCACCGTAGTAGTAGCTCCCATGATCCGGCTCGTAGAAATACCTGCATGAAATGCCCTTCTAGAGATCAATTCACGATATGCTAAGTCGTTCCTATAGGACCCCATGGATGATGGGAAGTCCCCCTCTATTACGTAACGTCCGCCTTAATGCCAGACACCTCCGACCGCTTGGCTTCATCGAAGTGGATGTAGGCCATCGAGAACAGAGTATAAAACCTATCCTCCACACTAACTATAATTAAATAAAAAGCGACCATAAGCTGGCAGCCTGATATAACAATTCAGGCTATATCGAGTCGTACTGCTGTCACCAGGGCCGACCCTATATGAGGAGTATAAACTGTTCGGGTTACACGGTGATTAGCAAGCTGTATTACCAAGCAGGAACTAAGTATGTCTAAACTATTCTAGTTATATTCTAGTGATATAACATAATTCATAACATAAACTATTGTAAACTCTATTCCTAAGCATTCATCTAAACTATTTATATGAATGACATACTCATCGCAAGGAGGTAACTGCGGGGTCCATCCTCTGCTCAGCATTTTCACAAACGTTTCCCAGCCATTCGAGGAGTTGCCAACTTATATTTCACAAGGCGCTGATTCCAAAGTAGTTATTCGGACCAAAAGTTGATCATTTAGTGAGAAATACGCCGCGAATAAATGGTTTTCGCTCCGATATACAAAACCTAAATCATTGGAGTTTCACGACCGTGATATGAAAAACATATTTCACGACTACTGCATAACGCGGATGTCGCGTTATTCAGCGAATAATACGCCACTTCACGTAAAACTGCTGAAACTCAATTGGAACTCGGCAGTGACTCTCTCATAAAGACACTCGTAGAATCTGAATTGAGACCATTTCGAAAATTCACGGGCAAACCTCGACGCTCTAGAGTAACTCGTATATCGAAAATCGCCATAGTGCGTGCCGCCCACCGAATCTTTCGGTATGTTCAATAGGCCTTCAAGAGCCCATCCAGGATTAGATGCCACATCAGTAAAACTCGATCTTGGGCGTGCTCTTAGAACTCAGGAGAGGTCTATTGAGCACCACCCCATATATAAAGGAGCTCCATAAATGTTCAATATGCCTCTCCTGAGTTTCATAAGCGCTCCTAGAATCAAAGTTCACATGTGAAATCCAACCCTTGAAGGGGTATTGAAGCTTAAGAGATGTTTTTTTTTGAGAGGAGTGGAAACTAAATTATACACGTTTGACATGGCAGACTGTACGAACCATAGGTGAAAAGTTTACCAACTCTATCCAGTCAACAGAAAAAGGGAGGGAGAGCGCCAGTGTGGAGGTACTGCCGTAGACTGTTGCCGTCTAGAGAGGTTTATTGAACATTTTTTAAAAGTGGAAACAGAATTACACACGTTTGACATGGTAGATTATACGAGTCACAAGATGAAACGTTGACCATCAACCTTAACCAGTCAAAAAAATTTGATGGTTTATTAAACATGAGGATTGCTCGATAAAAGTACACGTTCATTGGCGTGAAGTTCACGCCGTGAACTCAATAAAAAACTGCTCGAAAAACTTGAAGATCTTGTAGTTTCTCAAAAGTAAAATTTATGTTAGTTACGACGGTCCTTCGCTTCTTCCACTATATATGAGCACTCATGGACCACAGCACATTTAAAACCACGTATTGCATACCACCCTTTCATCATCTTCTCAAAAGAACAACGTTTAGGAACTTTCGACGTCAGCAATCAACATGAAACCGTCTGTGGAGGCCCGGGAGTTTCTCCCATGTCAATCACTGGGACTTGGTAACAATCGGAAAACTCATACCGTTACTTGTCAAATCAGCTGTGAACCAGGCAGATCGGGTTCGCACGTGGAGTGCTATATGAACGAGAACCCCGTGAAGGTGTTCCAAGGCCCGCGACATACCGTAAATATCACTAATATATCAGTAACCGTTTCGAATATGACCGCTTCGACTCAACATGTGATGTGTCATGATAATAACTGTATACTGTTGAAGTTTCAGCTCTAAAACCTCCTTAGTTGACGGGAAACGAAAAATTTAGGAATTTGCCTAAGAAAAATGCACCCTCCTTATAAGTCTTGCATGCGCAGTAAACTGCCGTTGTAAAAGAGTCGTGCACCTTAGTTGTTTTGCTTTACTCGTGTGGCCACATAACATGTCCACATCGCCCTTCGTTACTGGTGTTGTAACACGAGTAAAGAATGCACTCACTGAAGATCAAGAACGTGCTTTACGGGATGAGCTTGCCAGGGTTGAATCAGCCAACCTAGATGGCAAATTCACCGAGTCGTTGAATGACTTGTAAGCCTAAGGGTAGAAAGAGTATAGGAAAATATGCACATGGTGAACTACATGTGTTATGAAAATTCTTAGGAAATTTCGGAAATTTCTCATTGGTTTCTGTACACTTTTACTCGAAGTCGTATATAAACTCCTATAACTAGTGAGGGAACTCCTCAACTCAGCTGAGGAAAACTAACATATATTTTTCCAATACTGTTTTCTAATTTCACGCCAACTGAAACCATGTATGAATTTCCAGTATGAACTGCCTAGTTCCGCGCAGGAGCATATCCATTGGCATTAGTTTTCAACTATAGTTTACTTTCATTCTTTACATCAGAGTCGAGAAACGGCTGATGCAGATGGTGAGTGACAGAAGGGCTGCTGGGGGACCGCAAGGAGGATGCGATGACGACATTGACACTTTGGCTTCCAACAGCGACTTCGTGCTACCTTTCCTTAAGCAACTACTCAATGAGTATCAAAGAGGCAACTGGCCTAAAAAAGCTACCGCCCTGACTGTGAACATGGGTACGGTTGGATGCAGTATGCATCGTCGGGGCCACCTCCGTGATAGGCACGATCGTTTCTGGTATCACCGGTGCGCAGAGGGCCGAAAAGGAAGCTGAGCTACTGGCTGGAATGAAAGGTGTAGCGTCCGTCACAACCGATTCCGACCAAGCGCCGATACGTGGGAGATTCTGGAAATGCCCGAATTGTGGTATTCGCAATTCTGGTACTGCTGTGTTATGTGCTAGTTGTGGGAAAGAACAAGTTACGGTTGAGTGTAACACTGGTGGGTGAAGTCTATAGTAGTATGTAAACCATCGGTCACCTGGTAGGTTCTGAGAACATTGAGACTTTGATTCACTCAAGACCAACAGGGATGGACACCACTGAAGTCGGACGTAGGTTTATTTTTCGGTTCATGCTGGAAAACGTCTTTCAGGCGGGAACCTCACCGTAGCGGAGAGTCCCGACAAAGGGTGGTTCTGTGAGAGTTGCAATAGAGCTGTTTATGAATTTGCATGCAAGTCGTGTGGCTCTACTATTAATAACAGAATTAGGAATGGACGGCGACCGAGGTAAGGACTTGGATTAGGGTTGGGGTTTGTGAGTGATGATTACGATGCCGAGGAAATTTTCCCTCTATCCTATTCGCATCTGCTGAACTTTTATGTCTAATTACTTGTATCACCGGAAAATCGAATTGTACCTGAATTGGTGGCGTTAACATGCCCGAAGCGATATACGTATATTCTGTGAGTAACATGGCCTTGGCAATCGCGAGTACATATCTCTCGGATGCTCATGATCGCTATGAACTATATGCAAACTACATACTCTTTTCCAATCTGTGACAGAACTGTGGGATAGCACGTGTTTCAGGCTGAAACCAGGACAGTGGGAATGTTGGGGAGCAGATTGTAATTATCTCAACTACAAGCAGCACAGTATTTGCCGGAAGTGCGGTAGGGATAAAAATGTGGAAGAGGATGACACGTGGCCTGACAAGAGACAAGTAAGAGAAAAGTTATTGTTTTTTTCAGTACTTTTGCTAATCCTCGAGTGAATCAGTAGAAGCGATTTGATTCTAGCTAGGCCTCGACGGCTTACCTCTTTTTGCTGCGATGGCTTGCTCTCATAGGGCGACAGCTGTATTGCTATTCAAAACTTTCTAGTAGGTTCCTGACCCTGCTCATCGACTACAACTGAGAACTTTTGTTTACACAAAGTTAGTTGAAGTAATTGATCGCATAAGTAGATTCAATCGACATATCTGTGTAGGTGTTCGAGCCTCTCGACCCACTACTGGACGCCCCACAGAAGGAATTCGACTTCGCCGCGGAGAGGTTGAAGACGGAGGCGTTAAAGGTAATCGTCTATAATGAGTACTAGGTCTTTGGGAAATAGTGACCGACATCTGAACAACATGCTCAAAATTGATTTTCGAACACACTCGTATGGTCCCCAAACTGCCAACGTTGTAAGGGTTTAGGGCGTGCGCTTTCTCTAGTAGTACGCAACCACATAGCGGGACTTAGAGCATGATTACTTCGAGGTAGCTATAGTTTATTTGTCACTAACTGTAGCCATCTTGGCTCAAGTTCCCCTTCTTCTCCTCTGCCTCGCGTTAGCCAATGCCGGCGCCATCATCCTCATCGCAACCCACAACGTCTTGTGTATCTCGGAATAGGTTGGCGGTTCGAACCTCGGGTTGGACATTTTTCCCCTCAGAAACGGTTTTCGCGTATATCCTTGTGTCAGGCTTTCATGAAGAGAGGGACCAAAGGCCTGCAGGAATGCGATCCACTATGTGGTTATCGCTATACAGATGAAACCGACGACAGCGAGACCGGCTCGGACACTCCGGAGCGGCAGTAAGTGCAGTTACTGTTCGGATATTACTTCATCTCGTCCAACAGAGATGCATCCCAGCAAGAGGGACGAGACAGGCAGATGCAGGATGTGGTAAACCAGCTGAAGACTATTGGAGTCTCTCAACATGATATTGATAGGGTGAGATGGTTAGACACTCCGTGGCACTAAAGAACAGATCGTTGATACAACGTACGATTCCAAATGAGTACTATTGGTAGTAGTCATCGTAGGATGTTCATAATCGCTACGGGTGTGGAATCATACAATCTCAATGAGATCATCTCATTCGGTCATCATATCAACTGCAATTGATAGTACCAATGCCTGACCATATTCCACACTGACATAGCATTCGAGTAGGGATGATGTTACTACTATCAGGTCGTTGCTGCGAAGGACTTGAATATATCTACTGTGGAAGATGCGATTGATTTTATTTTCAGTTGAACTCCTCCCTTGTTGTGTTGTGAATACTTTCTCTGTGAGTTTAAGAACGTTGCATTGCGCTTGTCCGTTTTCTCTTCTGCATACCTTATGCATACCACTTTCAAGAAGCGGTGAACTAAGAGGTGAATCGAAAATTACCATCTTCATGCAACGAGGATACCATACCATTTTCACTCATACCATAGAGTAACACCGTCTATAAAGAATAGCGCAAAAATGTCACTGCCCACGAACGAACCGGATTCTCTCACCATCCAAAACATGGCATGGCTACTGCTGAATTAATGAACTCAAAATACATGAAGTACTATGGCGGGTCCAGAAGCAAACAGATCGACAACGATCCTATAGCGACATTCACATCCTAGTATAAGCCCCTGTGAACACCATCATCAGTAACCAGCTCTTGTCGGAATCTACTTCTCGGCGTTGGCCTTGTCCTCAGCAGCCTTGGCACGCTTGGGAGCCATCTTCTTGGTGATACGAGACTGACGGAGAGTAGTGTAGGCGGAGGTCTCACGCTCGGCCTTGGTGATGGCACGGGCATGCTCCACAACACGAGCAGTGGGGACAGGGATGATAGTCTGAAAAAGGGCAAGTCCAATACATGTACGACTACAGGCTGATTGATTACCTTGCAAGTGTTCTGAGTAGCGTTGGCGAGCTCAGCACGGGCAGTGTCACCCTTCTTGGCCTTCGAACCTCTGGGGAAGACAGCGAGCTTGGCCTTGTACTGGTTCAAGCGATCGACATTGAGGGCGAGAGACTCCTCGGACTTGTTGTGACGACGCTTGTCGACCTAAGAGGAGAGGATGTAATACACCAATGCCTTGCAGGGGTGGTGATTACCTTGATGCCGATAGTGGGGGCAAGCTTGACGGAGATACCAGCAGCGGCGAGCTCCTCGACGGTGAAGCCACGACCGAGACGAAGCTTGTAGTTGTACCTCTGGGTAGGAGGACGAACCACGGGCCTCAAGAGACCAGCAGAAGGCCTGGGGTAAGCGGCGGCGGCCTTGGACTGACGAGTGAGACGACGACGGTGCTTTCGGGCGGGCTGGTCGAACCAGGTCTTGATGTGCTTCTGCCAGTACTTGCGGAAGTGGATGTTAGGGATAACGTTGTTGTGCTTGACCGCCATGGTTGATTACTGAAAAAACCACACCCAATGTATCGAGGCACTCCAGAGATGAGGACGTGGGAAGCGTACGACTTCAGTCTAATACGACTTCATACATAATACGAGGCACTCGAGTATCCTTGCCCTTATTACCTGTCGTCTGGACTTGCTGACAAAGTTTGAGTACGCTACGTGGCAAATCGATTAGGTGGGCGAGCGAGATTTTCACGGCTGATCTGTCGCATGTGTGGAAGTGGTACAAAGTTGGCACCTATACTTAGCCGCAGCTGGGACTGCCGACATATGACAATCACATGAGAGAGTGTTTCGACAAAACGGCTCTGTCTATGCGACGAGCCGTCCTTGTGACGCCGTTCAAGTAGAACATCCTCCCTCACCTATCCTCATCATCATCAGAGGGAATCAATCCTTGTTGACTGTGATTGTCGAGAAAAGTGTATCAAGAGCTCAACAGGGTGAGATGGATGCCCAGTGCATGGTTGAATACCTCACAGTGTTGTAAGGCCCTGTTCTAGGTAGTGATCTCTCCTGAACTGAGGAGATTACATCTAGTTGAGCTAGGTATGATCACATGCCTTCCGGTAGCTAGGTATAGCTGCTAGGGCTTGAGCATGATCTCTTCAAATGAGGTCGACCCGCTGCCAGGAAAAGAGGAGCGAAAACTGTCTATGGTAGCCTCGAATCGTCTTGAAGGCGAAAATTTTCCTAAAGTGATTTATTATTTGCCGAATACCGTTACACGCTGTACTCCTGTTAGTCCATAGTAGCACAGGTCCATGAATACGACTTCCTACCTCCGCGTAATGCTGGTGGAAATTCCCTCATTGTGGAGCTAGCTACTTTTCCGAGTAGCCCTGGAAGGTTCTCCAGCAGAACTGAATCGTCTCTCTGAAAACATGTGTATCGGACTTAGCTTGGAATCACCAAGTCCTGAGGGTTGAATCTCAGCCATCTAGCGATTACCCTTAGTGACATATAAACTCCGTAGTAAGTCCACGCTTCCGACGATTTACTACTCTCTAGGGTATTCTTGCTAGCGATCTTGAATCTAGCCAGGAACCGTAGTGATTTTTTCAAAGGCGACTGACGGTATCGTTTCCTCTGATGGAAATCTATTAATATAAAAGTGTTCAGTCCATGAAAGTCTGTAAACGTTTGAATAGTTTAACAGTGGTAGTGTAGTGTGGGGTTTGCTACCATCAGAAGATCCTGGTGGTAATTTACCATTTTCTGGACCCGTTTGCAACTGGAGGAGCTCCTGGGTGGTTCGCGATGTAGTAAAATCAGTGCTGAAAAAATGTTCGCCTTCCTCAGCTGACCTCACTTATCGTAGGAGTTTATATAGAAATTGGGAGAACATACGAGAAATGTACAGAAACTATTGAGAATTTTCCAAAATTTTCTCAGAATTTTCATATTGTTACCAACACATGTGGTTGCATATTCTACCATGCGTAGTAGAATTGAACTAATTCCATGGGAAATCACCCTTCTGGACGAACGCAAGGCCACACCGCACGGGCGACTAGACCAAGGAGTGACGAAACGATGATGCAACACAGCAGAGCTCAGCGGCAGCATACTCCTCCTCAGCATCAGAGGCCGAGGTGGGTCGTTTCCGCGCACTAGGACGTAATCTGAGGCCCTCTTCCAGGCCTGGTACTCCTTCGGTGCCACGTCCTAGTGGTGACCTTGCCCAGCCTCCCACTAACCATGGGGGGGAAAATGTCCCTGCAGCTCCTGCACAGGTTCCCTCACCGAGTGGTGCTCCGGTGGGAGGGCCTAAGGTACCAGTAATGTTCCGATGGAATGGTGATGGTCATCGCGTGTCGTTGGTGGGCACATTCAATAATTGGAAAACTCACTTGCCGATGGTCAGGAGCGGGCAGGAGTTTTATCAGGTGAGGAAAGGTCTCTCATCCACTGCCGAGTGATTCGGTGTTGTTAGATAGTAGAGGTCCCTCGAGGCTTCCACCAGTATGCATTTGATGTAGACGGCGAGATGAAGTATGCGTCGGAACAACCAGTAACACACGAGGACGATGGTACGATGCTCAACTACATCGACCTGACTAACTATCGCCCGTATGTTCCGCAGCCTTTGGGGGTGAGTACAGTATGGCAGGTTTGTGAGTGAATGATTTTGTTCCAGAGTGCTCCTCATGTGAAATTAACACCTGAGGAAGATGCAGAATTCGGCACTAAGGAGGTATTGCCGCCGGAGCCTTCAGTAGCATTCGGCCCGGGGTCACATATGGGGCCCTCGAGCAGCACTAACAGTCAGGGTAATGCGGAGGAATCAGGCAGTTTCAACTCAAACACTGGGTGTCTCTTCTTCATATACCTTTTGCATGTTAATACCATAATCAGCTGAACTAGTATTAGATCATTGTATGGTGTACTGAACCGACAGGTCGGGAATAATGATTCTATGTGTTAGAGCCACCGATAGCCCCCTCATTACTGTTAAAATCTTCGTTACTCGCAGCGCCACCGGACACGGCATCTAAAACAGCCTCTGTAGTGCTTATGCACAAGCGTGGACAGGTGAGGGGGGGGGGACGGCCTATGATGGTGATGATTGGTGTCACCACGTAGATCCAACAGCCTGTGGCCGCTGGAGCTTCAGCTTCTGATGCGTTTCTGGCGGCAACTCGAAACCCCGATGGGATGGTATCACCAGCACTGCCTAGTATAGCGATGCACGCTGTAGGATGGGAAATTGGTGACAGCTCTGGTTCAGCCCCTAGGCCCTTTAGGTTTGTACACACGTCTTCCACGATGCCTCGCGGTCCTTCCAGTCCCCTTTGGCCGAGGTGACGGCCGAGAGCCTTACTTTAGCGACAGTTACCTCTCGGTGAGTGTTCGCCCCCTAAGGGGGTCTGGACAGATTACCGAGATTTTTGTGGTCTCTACTTGTCAGCCTTGTCTACTGTGTTGCAGGTACGACCAGAAGTTTTCCACATGTATAATGTTACAGTCAGCAGCTCCGTCGAACGTCGACCCCCACAGCTCTGATTACCGATATCATTATCAGCATCATAGACCTGAGGACGATAAAGAGGCTGAGAAACTAGCGGGGCTCTCGAGGCGGTACCCAGCACAGATCCTACCAGAAGCGCACCAGCATCCCCCGCGAGTGGTTCGGGATCCTATTCTTGATGTGGTGACGACTCCTCCAATGGTTAATAAGGCGGAGCGAAGCCCGCAGGTCGCAAAAGCTGTGTGAATTTTCTTGGTCATGAACTGTAGCCGACGGTTGTTATAGCGGCGAAAGTATTGCTAGACTTGTTGGTGGACTAAGTTGGTGAGGATGCCCTTTGAAGTTTTTTAGTCGTGTAGTATTACGCTCGAGACTGAATCGACTTGTGTTGGGCTATGGAGGAGCTCGGGAAAAAGAGGATGTTGCGCAGTTTTCCATCAGCGTTGGAGGGAGATGTGTTCGCCTTCCTCAGCAGAACTCGGGGATATCTAAAGCTAATCATAGAGGTTCACGTACGAGTTCGGTGAAAGTTTTAAGAAAAGGCTAAGAATTTCCCGAAATTTTTCCAGAATTTTCATACTGTCGCCAACACATGTAGTTGTTGACCATGTGCATATCTTCCTACTTCTAATGAATGCCTTCTAACACACTCGCTTGTGCAGTAGCTCTCCGTCAGTTGGTCTTCTCGCTATGTGCGTACATGATACTCCTCTGGGAGGGTCCGAAGATCGAGTCACATGCACTTGAGTGTGGCGGGAAAACATGCACATGGCTAACTACATTCGTTGGTGACAGAATGAAAATTCTGAGGAAATTTTGCGAGATTCCCGTAAATTTTTATATGCAGTATAACTGGTGACGAAAGCAAACGTATATTCCAACACTGCTGCAGTTAGTTTTCACGGATTCTTTTTTGACCTATGAAAAGCGACTCTCAAGTAGCAAGCCTCGAGCTAAGGTTAATCGAGCACCTTTGGGGTTGCAATTCTAAGACTAGTGGACCCATCGCCGAACTGGAGGCTTGCATTCGAGACTATATACCTCCCGGTGGGTACTCTTTGGACTGCCCGAGAGAACGTGTCACACTCACGAAACAGCCTGAATTCTTGCTGTCTAGAAAAGGCGCTCTACTGGGAGTGCATGCTACTTGGGACGACATCATCTTATGGCCTGTCGATCATCAGGGTGAGGTTATTGTCCTTGAGCCCGGCTGTGACGCTCGAGGGAGTCTTTATGTTTACGACTCTGATGGTGACAGACTGTTGGTTTTATATGATAACAATACGAGATTGATGATGCACTATGTTGGCGAGAAAAGTAGAGCGCCTAGTGTTGTTGCTGTGAAGGGCATCCCTTCAACTGTTTCTAATGGGAGTATAGCATTCGGTGATGGTTGTTTGTACTGTACATTCACACAGAGGAACGTTCTAGAAGTGTACTGTGTGCGAGTCGAAGGAAGCGGTGGTTCAGCTGTTGCTCGCATGGTCTGGTCACATACCGTTGCGGCTAATACGTCGTGCCCACCTAATGTTAAATGCCGAGCTACTGAACCAGGAGTGATCGATGTAGTGTTCAGAGCTAGAGTTGATGGTTTCCGCCTGGCCAAGCTCCACTTTAGCACTGAGGATGATTCGCCGATGCTTCTTAGATCGATTACCTCGACTCTACCAGAACTCGATGGACGACTTCAGAATCTCGATCCCCAGTATGTTGGTCTCATCGGTGACAACTGGATCGGAGCTCTGGGTGAACGCCTTTCCACTAGTCCCAACTCTGCCGGAGGGAAATCTCATTGGTTTATGGTTGTCGGCAAGAATGGTCATTTCGTGGGATGTGCTATGAAGGGCGCCGGCTCTATCGATATTAAACAGATTGTTACCGGTGTTAACGACACTGTGTTCATCTCGGTCGAGACTAAACCCACGAGTTTGAGTGCATGGAAATCAGACTGGACCCCTAGCGGCTCGGCTGGTGCAGTAAGCTGCGACTTGCACGCTCTTCGTGTTTACCGACGAGACGTTGAACGATGAAATGATGGTTACTTTTGAAGAGTTTTGTCTATAGAAATCTCGGGCAGTATTTTACACTTATAACGTAAGCCCCGCTGTAGATGAAGCGCCCCTGCTTGTTGTAGCAGGCTAACTGAAAATCTCACTTTGAAGTGTCGTTGTAGTGTAGAGTGGATTCAATTCATAACGTCCTCCCCCTTCCTGCACTATGCACAACATCTTCGTTCGGTTTGCTCAACTAGTTGAGCTTCCTTCAACCCTACACTCGTGTTGCCATCTTCCTAGGAGAGAGGGACAGGGAGACCTCTGGCGCCCCATGTCAAAGGTCTCCCTCATAACGTGGAGGCTTGTGAATACGACTTGTCCTGGCTGATTACCTTTGCATCATTGTTTGAGATGGAACATAGGGAATACCATCCGATTGATAAAACTGTCCAGGACTGATCTGAATTATTCGAAGTGCGAATATCTGTGCGAGACCATACTTGGTAGATCATAAATTAGTAGGGCTTCCGAATGACATGAGGGTCGTTGGACAGTTGTCACTTTTCATAGACAAAACATGGTTCAAGAAACTACCCGTTAGCTCGTGTAGCTTTTTCGCATGAACTTATCACCAGCCCGGACGGTTATGTGGTTTCTAAGATCACCAACGCATACAGAATGATATCGGCTATAAGCGGATTCTATCGATGTGACATCCTGTTGGCTTTTCAGGTGGAGTCAGCGATTGAGGACGACTTGTCGAGGCCTACGGCGAATGAGTATAATTATTGCGCGTCAACAACCTGCCGACTTGGCGCTACTTCGCATGGATTTATCATCAATCCTTACCGATCCGTCTTGTATGAATTTCAGCTGCCCATGTTGGGATTGCATTTCGTTGTCTCAGCTGGTGCCGGTGAGACCATTGTGGAGGAGGACAGGAATCGACTTTGACTGCTCTCTCTAGCGTTAAGCCGTCGAAGGTCTGCTTGTGAGTATCCGTCCTCTCGAAAGTGGACGATTTGAAGACACAATACCTGTGAACGAGATTTAATACTCATTCGTCAGGCACGCTGCGCGCTGTGATATACTGTGGTACCTAACATGAAAAATTCTATCTATATGGATCTAGTTTTGAGTCACCATCACTGAGTTCTCTATGTCGTATGTGTTACTCACTGCGTTTATAGTTGACAGCTTAGTAAGATTGTTCATTCTGTTCATTCTCCCCGATGTGGGCGTATGACTTCTGCCATGGGGACCGCCCTGAATCGAGAAGACTAGTATCACATTTGTGGGCCAATAACGTCGTTCTAACATGCTGGCAAAATGACGCAGAGTAAGACACATGTGTGTCGAAGAGATTCGCGTGTTGTGACCACAACACCCTGGCAGAGCTATGTGAAAGCTCAGATCTTGATTGCTATCGTCTCGCTTTTAGTCCCTGAGCTTATCGCCGGGAAAATGTAATTGGAAAAGTCTTGATTTTTTCCCCAATATTATGAATGCATCGGCGATATGAATATCACATTAGCATTTGTCATAATCAATACTCTTTTCGCTCCTCAGCTTACCATCGCAATTCCGCTCACCAGGCTTGACCCGACTATCACGACTGCTACTATACTTCTTGATGTGAGCACCCTTTATGTGAATGCGCTGGTTAATGTGGTGTATGGAATCAGCTATGGTGTGGTATCGGGTTTTCTGATATCCTCGAAAAGTCGTGGGTATGCCATAGAGTGTCAAGAGAGGACTGCTTGCAAGACAGCTTGTGCTATGGACTCCTTCCCAGTATCGTCCTGCGAGACTGATGACGACATGGTACGCAGTATTTGTTCATCGAAGTTGGTCAAAACGACGCCACAGTGTGGAGAAATATGCACATGGTCAACCACGTATGTTGGAGAATTCTGGGGAAATTCTTATGTACATTTTCATACGGATCCGCATGTAAACTTCTATAGTGAGTGAGGGAACTCCCAAGCTCAGCTGAGGAAAGCGGACATATATATGTTTCTATAACCACCATAACAAAGGTGGTTTTATGTGTTATTACTCCAACATTGCGATGCGCTCAGGTCATCACATTTGGTGGCAACCAATACTCAGCATTGTATTTGTATAAGAAACCTCTAAGTGCGATCACAGCAGCCCCCGGTATCTTTGATCATCTGTGCGCTGCCAGCGCACCGGCTTTTGACACACTATCTGATATCAAGTCCGCTCAACTGTGGGATGGACGCTTGCCTAGGTGAGAGCTAATGCGTTGAAGTCGGCTTGGCTCTACTTGTGATTTATTCAGGACTGCGATATGTTTTCCTGTATGTAAGGGGGAGGGGTATGACTCGGCTCAGGTTAGCGAACTAGAAGCTGGAGAAACCACTAAGGTGTTCGAAAGAAAACTCCTCCTCACCGACATATACTTTATTTGAAGTTGAAATTTTCAACATCCACTGAGTAGGAGTATACATCAAATTCATATAGCTAGGTTAAAATTCTAACTGTGATGCTCTTATTGCTGCTGCATGGCAGATTACCATGGCGTTGTATACGGCCAGTGGTGACACTAGGCCCTACTGCTCTGATCTCGACACAGGCATCGATCAACTCGATTTGCTATGTGTTGATCCTCGCGAAGAATGTGAGATAGAATCCTATCTTGATGAAGTGAGGAGTTTAACTCTCATCGCTGTAAAGCTACTTGGACGACAGATATGCTACGTCGGCAACCATTTCGAGGCGAGCGCTATTTGCATATCGTGGGTGCTAGTATTACTAGCTACTCTGTATAGTGCATTACTTCATTTTGCACTTGATATTCTGCTCATGTAATACTGCCTGCTGGGGCGTGTCAAGATTGATGCTCTTTAGACTGATCGCCTTGACCAGTAACGGTTCCGAATCGATACTGTCAGAGTATGACCGAGTTGATGCTGCAGTGATCGCGAACTCTCGTAAATGTGTCCTACAGTGGATTCTCTTAAGCGTGGTGATAGCTGTGGTCCTAGCAGTGTCTAGGGCTATATTTAATACGATCGAGTAATAGTTACACCAACACTGAGGAGTTTCACCCGTTTAACGTGAAGTGGCGTAATACTCCATGTAGATTTAACCTGTGTATGTTTTCGTCATCCATAACACAATTGTTTTCGCGAAGTGAATTATGGAATGTTTTTCATATCACGGGTGGAATTCCAATGCACATGACTCTGTCACTATTTTCAGGTACGGGCGCCCTTTGTCGTTTCTGGTTTTTTGGCTCGTGGTTTTCCTCTTCGATCAGCTTCGCAATTTTGCCCTCCAAGCCCTACTATGGTGTGTGAGAATATCATCGTTGGAGTTAGGCTCGTTGCAGGTTCTTCATACGGAAGCTCAACGACATGCGAGGCAGACCTGCTAGCTCTTCGGGCAGTACTCATGATGATAGTGAACAAAAAGCGGTCCATGAACCTAGTGATTCCCTCTTACTGAAGTTTACTCTTTGAATAGCGGGGTTCAGGTCCATGGCAACTCCTCCGTGGAATTGCCATACGAGTTGTGGATTCCAAGGGCTTCGAGTTCTTTGTATACGGCCTGGTTGGAATCTATGCTTTTTTTATTCTCACAGCCTTAGGTGAAGAGAAAACTTTTTTTTCTAATCTGGCGCATCATGGTTGCTAGGCATCGAAGAGTACGTCAGTGAGAGTGTGAGCGATGTGATGGAGACAGTGGACACAATTTTCCTCGCCTTCTTTGTGGTGGAAATAATATTTCGACTGATGTAGAGCCTAGTCTCAGAGTATGGTGGGAGCAAACGGCTTGTTGTCTTAGGGCGGAAGGATTGGGGTATTTAAATGATCGCTGGAATCTGTTCGATTTCATCATTGTGGCGGGCTCATGCGTTGCCAAGGTGAGCAACGCTTTAGAATTGTCAACCTCTGCAGCGCAAAAACGCGTGCATATTTCAGTGCCATTTTCAGCGCAATATAAAACATTTTCAAAATATGCACATGTGTTGGTAAGAAAAATCAAAAATTTCGGGGAATTTTTTAGGGGATTTCTTGTTGGTCTCTGTACACCGGTACCCAGATTCGTATGTAAAATAGTATCATTACAGCACAGCTGAGGCAAGCGAACCTATATTCCAGGTCGCAGTTCCAGGCAATGCCAAGTCGTTCACTATTCTGCGACTATTCCGTCTACTCCGGCTAGTATTAGCCTTGCGTAAAGCAGGGAGGAGCAGGAAAAAACGTAAAGGCCAGAATGGTAGGGCTTCGGTCAACTACATGTGTTGATGATAATATGAAAATTCTGCGAAACTGGTGTTAGTTTCTGTACATTTCTAGTCGAATTTGTATGTAAACTTCTATAATTAGTGGGGAAAATCACTGAGCTCAGCCGAGGAAAGCGAACATATATTCCTCTAACAGCGGCCTTCGGCGTGGCTCTATCTCTGATGTTTTCGTAGGTGCTGATACTGCCCTACAGTTCAGTTCTAGGGTGGACAAAGTCGTGGACATCCTTCGTGACGTGCATGAGGTCAAGGGTCTGTCGGGGCCTATGCGAGAGAGGCTCAATTGGGCCACTGAGATCATTCAAACCAACAATCTGTACACCATATCAGTCAGCGCAGGGAAGGGCGGATCGTCAGCAGACGAGGATGAGGAGGATGAGCT